CTACCGTCCCAAGACTATTCTTATTGGTATCCTCAGACCAATGTCCCAAGACCAACGTCCCTAGACCAACGTCCCAAGACCAACGTCCCAAGACTAACGTCCCGAGACCAATGTCCCAAGACTAGCATCCCAAGACTAATGTCCCAAGACTAACGTCCCAAGACCAATGGACCAAGACCAACGTCCCAAGACTAATGTCCCAAGACCAATGGCCCAAGACTAATGTCCCAAGACCAATGGCCCAAGACCAACGTCCCAAGACTAACGTCCCAAGACCAATGGCCCAAGACCAACGTCCCAAGACTAATGTCCCAAGACTAATGTCCCAAGACTAACTTCCCAAGACCAATGGCCCAAGACCAACGTCCCAAGACTAATGTCCCAAGACCAACGTCCCAAGACTAACGTCCCAAGACCAATGGCCCAAGACTGTTTTGTACCAAGACTGCTCTGGTCCAAGACTGCCCCAAGGCTGCACTGTCCCAAGACTGTGTTGCCCCAAGACTGTCCCCAGACTGCAATGTCCCAAGACTTCTTCGGTACTGTCCCAAGACTCGTCACTGAGTGTCTGGATATCGGATCTTTTTCTTCTTCGTTGTAGGGACTTCTTGATTCACTGTACCTTGTACCACCACTCAAGCTCTAGTGAAAATCCCAAAAACCCTCTCTTAATGGCCAAATGCTAACCCCCCTTTTTGAATTACCTCTTTTTCTATGTTCCAAGCAACTTGAAACCAAAACCTGTGCGCAGGTATCTTGTGATCACCTGTTCGTATAAAAACCCATCGCAAATCCTCACCAAAATGCAACAATAAATAAAAAAAAAATTTTAAACAAGAAAAAATAATAAAACAGAGAAATCAACCAACCTAAAATTCAAAGGAGACAAATGTCGACCTTCTGTCGAAAAAAAATGTCTGGTACCTAACTGCCACGCGTTTTCCTCCCCCCACTAGCGATCTTATGGGGTATCACAAAAACTGTCTATATCCGTTCCCCCCTACCAATCCAACCAGCGTACCAATCTTAACTCGAGTTAAATTTTGGATATCCACCTATTATTACCAACGCGTGTTGATGGCTAATGTAACTAAATCAACGATGTCGATTAATTAGTTACTCTATTTTCCCCCCTTTTTACAATTTACAACCGCCAACCTCTAACCTAACCAGCCCCCCTACTAACCTCCCCCCTCTTTAGCCCCCCTCTTAAGCCGAAAAATCCCTTAAGCGCCGGGTGCTAAACCTCTCGAGAGAAAACCGTAGACCTGTTTCCAGGCCTGCTTGAGTAAAAACTGCCTCAAAACAATGGGACTCCGCTTATCCAATTTTACACTTATTTCTATAATGTAATGTGGATTCTAACGATACCCGTTGTTCGACTTGAGAACACCCCTGTGCGTCCTCTTGTAGTGGTCCTGTGCTGGTTGTCTCTGTTCTGCACTTGACAGCAGAACCACTTTCCCACTCGACTGGTCACCTCTTCCAATCAAGTCTCCTAGTGGTCCGTTTCGATCCTTGTGAACCACTTTCCCACTCGACTGGTCACCCTTTCCAGTCAAGTCTCCTAGTGGTCCGGTTGGGTCGCAATCTATCTGAAAACCCTTAACAACGCCCCCCACTCGGGCACCTTACTGAAGTCACTGGTTTAAATTGCTAGATTGATCGAAACGATCGGTTTTATAAAACAGTATGTGTATACTATTTAATTAATACAAAGGTTTGATCCAACTAATTTGGTATCAAAGTCACTGTCTTTTTTCGTTTTATGGTTTTTGTTCCTTTTTGTATTCTTTTTTTGCTCGTGTTTTTGTCCCCCTAGTTGCCCCCCTTCACTCGGTTAGCTAAGCCTCGTTCGGAGAGCGTACCAGGAAGTTTTCTTGAGTTTTCCTAAAAAGCTATCACGGTACAACCGGAAGGTTTACACGTTCCCGCTGAACCGTACCACCGGTACTCTAGAATGGGCATGTAATCCGGAGCTGTGTCAAGTGGGTTCGACTCCGTAGTCATGATGTCGTAAAAGCACCCAGGAGTGACATAAACACTATGTAACATTCGTCTACTGTAGTCACACATGAGGCTTAAGAAAAATAGGTCCTATAACCATTGGCTCAAGAGTCAGGGACACTATCTCTTGTGTTTTTCTACCTCAAGAACGGTCGGAGCCAATTCGGTTTGCTTGCGACATGAGACTGGAACCCGTTACAGCTTAAAGGCCACTACCAAAATACCCCCCCACTCTAGAAATAAAAACGTCCCCATACTTAGGTCTCGAAATACCCAAAATACATGAACGCCGTTAAAAACCGGGTCGAAACAATCCGCTTAGTTACTTTTTATTGGACAGTGGAACTTTGATCCATTTCAGATGGATCAACCTAAAACTCGCCTTATCTCAACATAACTATCATAAAATACACTCGAGAAATTTAAATTGAGAACTCACATGTCGATGCACTTGAGTATGAGGAGTAATTAAAAGATAAGCAGCTCGAGAATCAAATGATATAACTAAATAAGTTTGATGCTAATTAGTTTTAACCACAGAAGTAAGTTCTGTCTCAGGAATCAAAGTTTCTGCATGAACCATCGGGACACTTGAGTTGTCCTCTCTTCCATTGAATGTTCATTCTGTTCCGTTCGAATAATCGTCCTTTCTCAAGTCTGTGTTCTATTCTCCTGTTTTCGGGATAAGACAGCTCTACCCTCTTATTATTTCGTGTCGAGAAATTGCGAATAGCAATTTCCTGCCTTTTTCTTGAGTAGTTTCCCGCAATTGTTAATTCGGACGTTCTGATTTTTCACTTTTTGTTTTCAGTTGGTTCGAGAAAACTGAGCATGACAGGCTCCATTCGAAATTTTCAAAATTAAAACTTCTTTCCAAAATTACGTGTTTCTCAAGGTCAAACCTCCAGACATGACCGACTGGCACAGTAACCCGTATCGATTTTAATTGTTAGGACATCAAAACTTGTCATCTTCTTTTATCATTATCTATTCCATATTGACAGCAAAGTCCTTGAAAAATGTATATACAAAGACCTGTACCCTTACTTTGCCAGGTATTTGACGAAACATCAACACGGTTTTACTAAAGGTAGATCAGTTTTGACAAACATGCTCTCTTTCCTGAAAGAAATATATGAAGCGCTTGACAATGACTCAAACGCAGAAATTGTAGCATTCTACACTGACTTTGCAAAAGCCTTTGATAAAGTTCCGCATTTTGATCTACTTAAGAAAGTTGCACTTATAGGAATAGGAGGCTGCATGTTAGAGGTACTCTATGTTTATTTGAAAAACAGGAAACAGTTTGTACGAGTAGACAATATCAGCTCAAAAGTTTTAGAAGTCACTAGTGGTGTTCCCCAAGGATCACTTTTAGGACCACTGCTCTTTTGCATTTTTATTAACGACCTACCTGAAGTACTCAAATTCTCTGAACCATATATTTTTGCGGATGATCTTAAACTACTTTCCATCAAAAAAAACATCAATTGAAATTCAAGAAGATCTGGACAAAATTCAGCAGTGGGTAACTGAAAACAAAATGGAATTAGCACTAGATAAATGTGCAAAAATAAGTTTTAGGGGCGGAGACGCTAACTCTATGCTTTTTGGTGTAGTGCTTGGAACATCGATGGTTGTGAAAGATCTGGGAATTTTTGTGTCGGGCGATTTAAGTTGGAAGGTACACATTGAAACAAGATTAAAGAAGGCAAACCAAGTACTGTACCTCCTGAGAAGAAACCTATCAGCAAAGATAAATACGTTTGTAAAGTTAGGCCTGTATAAGTCACTAATACTCCCAGTGTTATTATACGGACTCTCATGTACACATATATCGAGGGGGGATCAATTGCAGTTGGAGCGATTTCAAAAGAAAGTAATCCGTTGGATCACTGGAAATAAATCAGGAGTGTACATCAACGAACTACGCTTGCTAAACATTTTACCCCTGCCCATGTTCATCCAGCTAAATAACATCTTACTTCTTGCCAGTCTTGATTCTAATGAACGAAATGAAATAGTGTTAAACAGGCGAACCACACGGGCTAGAAATACAGAAATTTTTGAGATGCGAAAAGTGAGAACGGAAAAAGCGAGAAACGAATTTGTTTTCAGAACCAGTAAGATTGTAAATCGATTAGAACCATATATTCATTTTGATAAACGAATCGGCCTCAAGACGAGAATTTTAAACACGATGTGGAAATTTGTAAACGAGAGATTTTCAGAAATGACAACGTGCACGTGGCAATTATTCTGTGATTGTATCACGTGCAGAAACAAGTGGACATTGTTTTAGAGAAGACGCCGGGACCAAGAATCCCAACAGCAGTGCTGTGAATCCCCAACAACAACAACAACAACAACAAAAAATAACTAGAAAATTCCAAGGATTATGATTGGAATACATGATGAAGGGACTCCTGACTGTAACCTCGTTTACTTTGATGCTTTTGACCTTCTGATAATCTGGCTTGACCCAAGGGCATGACCCCCTCATTGATCAAGAAATTCACCCTCGTTTTCCATATGATTTGCATTGATGTTCTGCCAGCTTCGTCTGCCAGCTCGCTTTGCTGCATCTAGAGTCATATTCTCGTTTGCTTATCATAATTCAAAGAAGATCCAACGGTGCCTACCTATGGAAAAAGTTAATGAAAATGTGTAAATTTGTCCAGAAATCACTATATGAGAATGATGATTTTGTCAATTTTACGCTACTAGAAAAATAGTGTGACATACACTTGTACGTTTGAAACTTATTTCAACTGGCAACTAGAGTTTAAAAAAAGACGTAGAAAGAACACTTCAATTCTGAGTAAAAATCTTGGCATCAGTACACTTAAGTTTAATAAATGATTTTTTTTGGCTATGTTTATGCTTTCGAGATTTTTTCTACAATCTGGTCTGTTCTTATTTGACATGTGTTGCGAAGTGCAGCAATAGCTGTGTTCCTAATTTCGCTTCAAAAATGCATATAGATTCTTTTCAGATTTAGTCTGGCGAAATTAATATGATTGATTGCTGAAATATTCAAAATGACGAACAGGTTTGTAATTTTTTATTTTCTTATTCAGAAGCTTCAGTTTCTATAAGCTGTTTATTATTTAGTGAGCATTCAATCGCGCAAGCTGAGGCTTCCATCATGATGTATGATGAGCCGAAGAAGCGTTGGCAGCCAATTCTTCCGGGGAATACTTTGTCCTCTGTAAATGTGACTCATCATATTACAAGCAATACATTCAAAATTGTCGGTCGCAGTACTACAACTCGCGAGGTGAGTTGAAGCTTGAAGCTCATTAAATTATCTTATTGAAAGTTGTTATTAATGAATTGTCTATTCAGGTAATAATTTCGTGCAATATTGTGAAAAATCTGAAGTACAATCAAGCCACTGCCACGTTCCATCAATGGAGAGATCAGAAAACGATATTTGGCCTGAACTTCCCCTCAAACGACGACGCTGACAATTTTGCTTTGGGAATTAGAAATGCTCTGGAAATATTATCACGAGATGGTAATAATGCTCTTGGTATCAAAGTTTCTTGCCAGTGTTGGAGTTTATAAAAAGCAATTTGGGGCTCTTGCGCAATAATACATGCACGAGAGTATTGTTTTTGAGCAGTTGCCTTATGTGAAACCATTCTGTTTTATGCTGTAGCCAATCCTGGAAGATATCGGGGTTTCGAATTCATGTGATTCTGTGTTTGGTTCCCCACCTGGCAAATTTTTATTTGCAACTCGTTTCTTACGCGTGCGATAAGCAAGCGTTATCAAGATGGAATATAGACTTTTTTCGGGTTAACAACTTGTTTAACAGAATCACTTATTATCTTGGTTCATAGTGAATTCAAATTTTTAAGCGTCTCAAGCGTTCAAATCTGACCAGGACCTGTTTTTTTTTCAAACGGGAATTATTACGTTTCCAAAAGGTAGTCGGCTTATTATTTGTCTGCCTATGTTTGTTCGGCTTAGTTGCCACATCTCAGAATTGTAGTTGCTGTTTATGGTTTCGTTTACTCCTGCAGTTTGTAATTCTACTGGCCTTGACTTCTTATATTTTTTTTCCGCTTAAAAAATCTTTCCATCTAAACAATTTCGGCTTTTAATTTATAACTTTGTAACCTAATTTTGGGTCCTTCGAGGTCGTTCAAAAATAATTTGTATGCTTTCCTCCGGGTTTTGAGTCGTTTGAGGTCATTCAAAAATGATTTGTATGCTTTCCTCCGCATCGCAAAAAAGGTTAAAATCTCAGATTGAATGCATAGTTCAAAGTTTTTTGTGAGAACAGCTTTTTTACTCGTTAATTTTTATATTCTTCATTAAACGCCGTCAAAGGTATTTCTGGGCGTGTTTTCTGCAAATAGAACACCATTTTGAAGTTTTTTAGTTTCCGTTTTCTTTGGATTAAGTGGCTCTTTTTTCCTGTCTGCTAGCTCAAGATGCTATTTTGTGGAATCGCAAGTGATGCGAAGTTCCTGTTTTTTTGGTTGTATACCAAGAGAACAATTATTCCCCCCCCCCCCCCCCCCCCCCTAAATCAATGTAGGGAGGAGAGAGTCACTTGGTCAAAAGTAATATTTTTCAGCAAATTAAGTTTTAGCATAGTTCTTACAAGCCTTACTGCTTGAAGTTGCCTTTTAGTTGTAGCGTGTAGATTGTTCACTTGGTCTATTTAGGAGGAGATTGTTTACATGGGCCGATTTATGTTACTTAAGAGATGTTTTGCTACTTGAGAGATAACCGTATCGTTGTTTCAGTGCCTGCTCACATAACACAACAGATGCCTCCTCCTTCGCAGCCACCCGCGCTGCCCCCTCGAAAAAACTCATCGCCACACGTGATGCAAATGCTGGAGCCTAAGTACATAAACGTCGACGACAACATCATAGAGAAGATAAGAGAAAAGGACAACGCTATGACTAAACATCTTTGCTCGGGCGATGCTTCATCTAACGAGAACTCAATCTACGATCCGGTCATGATTCCAACTGAGCACAGTCGAGACATGTATTCCCAGAACGGAGGTGCTTCTGGTCATAACTTAAGTTACTCGTCTCCCGGACAGCAAAATAACAGCGCCAACAATAATACTCACCACAGAGTGGGAAGTTACAATAAAAGTCATACGGGTTCAAATAGCAATCTGGGTATTGGACAATACGGAGACGATGCTGATGATAGAGTGTCAATTTACAGGTATCAAGTTCTATTCTAAAACAAATACGTACCTTCATACTATCATACTAGCAAGAGTAAACAGTGCTTAAAAACTTGGGATTAATTTCGAAACAAATAGTTATAGAAAATAAGCTATGTTGTATAGACTGCGACCTATTTTCAATATTGACCATTGACCCTTCATTCTGATAGTCCAATCCCGAATATTTGGGTTTGATGTCGATATATGTTTAGCACTAGTACCAACAGTAGCAATTCCAGTGGTGCCGGCAACCAACATGCTGTAGACTACGCCCTCTCCTCGGCAGCCTTCCCCCCACCAGCCCCACACTCTAACACTACCCCTCAGTCGGCTGCTGCTAACACGCATCATAGAGGATCATCCACCGGATCAGCAGGTAAGACTACTTTTTCGAAGCAATTCGAAATGTACTTCATACTTTTTCGCATTGATAGCCAGCAGCATGCCTATGAACAGTTTCTAATGTTTTCTCCTTAGTTTGTGCTTTCTTTTTTTTAGGACAACAGAAACACGAAAGAAAAATTTATTGAGAAAAACTTATGTTTTTTTTTCATTATCCTAGATTTTATTGACATTTTCCAACTGTTCTGTCGACCAGGCTTGTGTTGTTGTGTTGAGAAACGCAGTTTTCGCTCTATGGGTATGGTTGTTTTATTTCCTGAAACTTGCAGCCAGAAAAAATTGGTTTCGTTTGTTAATTGCCAGTCTGAAAGCATCATTTCTCGTTCTGCTACACGAGTGATAATAGGAAGAAACGTCTGAAAAATGTAATTGGGCTATATAATAAAATGCTTTCAAGGAATTGGACATGACTTTTATGCTTGCCAATAGCAAGCGTTATCACGTCGAAATGGATACTTTTTCGGGATAACCACTTATTAACAAAATCAGTTGAATCAATTGCTGCTATGCTGCTGAAATGCTCATTTTCATGAGAATTCAAATTTAACTCCTGGGTTCAATGTGTGATACTGGGGTTTTTTCAGAATTTTCAGAATGATTTTTTGTCGGCTTCATGGATTTCATCCCAACTTTTGTCGGCTTACTTGCCGGATGTATTAAATGACTTTTCTAAATTGCTTGCTTTTTTACACTAGCGATCAGCTTAGTGTGTTATTACGAATCTTCTTTTTTCTAACGTAACTCGCAACTAGTGTTCACTTATTTGAAAATTGCATAGCATCTGTTCTCTGCTTTATTTGTGGCTAGTGGTTGATAACTATTAAGCCTCCGTGGTTAGTGTGTGAGAATCCGTAATCTCTAGGTCACAGGGTTGAATCCCAGACGTAGCCGAATTTTTGCTAATTCGAGGCTTATTTCTATTTTTTCTTATTGCACTTTATAGAGCTGCTTTTTGTCGTGTTCTCGCTTGTGTTCGCCTCTGTGTAATAAGTTCAAATACAAATTGAGGTTGTGGGTGCAATCTAAACAAATGATTGTTGGAAGCGTTCCTGCATGATCAACTAAGTCTAATTTTTTTTAACTCAAAAGTTAGGGACCTCGGAAAAAATACATATTTGAGTTTTTGACTATATTAAAAAATTTTGTTTTTACCTATCTCTAGAACTACCCGCTCAAATCTGAGTCTTCTTGTTCAATCCTAAGAATTGTTTGTGGAAAAGTTCCCTGCATATTTGGCTACGACCAATTTTTTTTTTTTACAAAGTTATGGCCCTCGGAAAAGACAATAATTGTTTTTAACTGTTTTTTGATACTATTCGACTTTTATCGAAAACTACCCTCTGTAATCTGAGTTTTTGCGTTAAATCGAAATAAAAGGTGGTGAGAACTTTTCCTGTGTAAGCGGCTTGGCCCAAAAAAATTTCACAACTTAAGCTTTAATTCTCGGAAAACATTTTTTTCTACAGTTTTTTAGAAGCTTTTTGATTTTTTTTCTAAAATTAACCTTGTTAAATCTGAGATGAAATATTCAATCGAATGAACCGGTTGCATTTTTCCTGCAGAAAATTCGTTTGTTAGAAAAATGTTATGTTTTTGGGAAGATTTCAATTTCTAAAAAAAATTTCACCCTTTTATTTTAGTATAGTAGAGAAACTAAGGTTTTGGGCGAAGTCCAAAATTTGAAATTACACATTTCATCACACATCAGTATAACAAAGTTATCAAACACCTACCTGCAACTTTAGCTGGGCGTCTAGTTTTCTTTTATCGATATATACAAAAGTTTTTTAGTCTTTCTTTTTTTCCAACATTTTTCATATTTTTTCTTCTTATGTTTTTTTTGTATCGCTAGTAAAAACGACGATCATAGCAAGTATTTGAAATATTAAACGTCATCGGAAGAAAATTACAACTAGTGATGAGCCCGATTTCTTTTTTTATTTCATTTTTGCTTAGTTTCCGAAAACCAGATAGAATAGTGTTTTAGGTAGAAAAAAACGTGAGTTTCACCTAAGCTATCCCATGAGATCAAATTTGCCAATTGTTGCTTAAATTGAAGTTGCTATTTTGGGGTTGTATTGTTATCGTGTTGTCATCTATGGAGCCTCATTTAAGACTAATTCTATTCTAGTTCGAAAAAACTGATACCTCTGCCTTGAATTGTAAATTTATTTCAAATCTTGGCGATAGAAACGTTGCTCTTTAAAGACAGTTATATATTGAAATATTTTAATATTATCTGCTTGGATTCACAGCTGCGCTTTAATAACTTGAATCGCCTCTCACGTGACTACATTATATTGCTATTTTTTAAAATTTCGATGAAACAATTCTAATGGCCTTTAAGAACCTTCACTACACTATGTTATTGGGAAATAAAAAACGCCGCCGATCTGTGTATTACAAGTGTATACGCATGTGAACATCAAAGGGAAATAAGAAATATGGCCGCAATTTCAGAATGTCAAAAGGCTAGACTTGTTTTTAACTAATATAAACGAAATGAAGAGAAAGCAAGCCTATTTCGCATTCATGCTTTTTTGTCTGAATAATATGTTCCGCTGGTTGAATACTTCAATATAGTCTTTTGCTGTTTTTCGAAATTTTTTCAGTCAAATCGCTGTTTTTGGTGTTTTGTTAACTTGTATGCTAATTAAATCTACCAGTTCTGCTGTCAAATATGTGTATATGCGATCTATCAAAAATCAAATTTGCTTTTCTTCAGATTTCTCAGGATAAAACTGACATAATTTAGATACCTCGTTACAAACCATGGTTCATTGTTGGCAAATGTCCATATGCCAGGTTTTTCTTGCAAACAAAAGAATCTGATGATAATAAATTGAATTTTTTGTTTCAAAGGACAATTTGCTCCCTAATTTCTCTCTAGCTGATTTCAATCAATCTATGCTAGTCCGTCCGGCCGTCTGGTGCTTCGAATCTAATATAGCTGCTGGCTTGATGGTATGATGCATACATGGTATGCAGTCTTCTTTTTTCATGTCTTGTTTACAAATGAGGCAAATGATTGAAACACTTGCGACTAGAATTTCAGAGAAATATAATTATCAGGGTGTTGTACAAGCCGAATGGTCGGACCAAACAGACAAATGTTGAAGATTAGAAATTTGTTTGAATTTTATTTTAAGCCGAAAGATCCTATCGACAAAATTTTCTTTAGATATGTTAGCAAAGTTGATAATTTTATGCTTTTTGATGAAGTGTGCTGGCTGCACTGTTTCATAATCTCAACCTTCATTTAGACTATTCAATCATGTGCGCCATTTGTTTTGTGGTCCCATGTCTCTTTGATTTCCTACCTCGATCCTACTTCTAAAAATATATGTATATATCTGTTTTTTTTTTTCCACTGCAATGAATGGACATCCGCAGAATTGAATGAAACATGGTCGCCAATTTTGTCTGATTTGAAAAAATTGCAGCCATAAAAGATGAGATGAAAGGAAGGCCCTTATTGCGATTCAAGGATTCAGTCGCTACGTTAAATTGAGCGTTGCGGAACTAAGCTCGAAATAGATAGAAAGAGGTAGATTTGGGGTATGAATACATGTTTCCCTGTTCGAAAATGCAATTTTAGCTTAAATTGAATTCGTCCGATACTAGAAATTTGTTTTGCTGGTTAGCTTTGATCCAATGAGCAAAATGTTGGTGAATTTTTGATGTGAAAGATACATTTTTCAAAAAAAGTAACACACCGAACTCAATGTTGCGATAAGTTTTTTTAAATTTGTAACACACCGGTTTCAATGTTGCGATAAACTTTTTATGCGTAACAAGACAAAATTAAGGATGCGATAAGCACATTTTTTCTAATCCGTCAAGCTTATTGTTGCGATGTTTCAGTGACATCCTTAATATGACAATTCAAAGTGTTCATGAAAGAATTTTTCATAGCTAATTTAAGTAATTGATGAATAATTTGTTTTGACGATCGCAGTTAGATAAAACAACGTGGAGACGTAGTTTCATTTCCCAATCTAGAGATAGCAGATTTAAACGAAGGGGAACTTTGGCGCAGAGTGGATTTTTGTGGCCGATTTTGACTACCAAGAAACTCGCAGGGGTTCAAGTGAGCTATCAGTTTGAATCCCTTTCGAAGAATTTGGTGCAAATCGGACCCAAAATTAACAATTCTGACTGCACAGAGGAGTCTGAAGGCTCTTCACTTCAACGATGATATGTTGTAAACTCAAGAAACTAATTTTTTTAAAGAGTTGATCAACTTACTGAAGACTCTTAAGGAGGTCGTGATGATTTCAGTTGCGATAATTTTTTCCGTGATTTTTTTCAGGAAGCTTCTTCTAATTTGTTCACGCTGTAGTTTTTCAAGATTTGACTTTTGATTTCGTACGCTCGGTTCATTTCTTTTGTCAAAAGGAAGGCAAAATGCACCATCGCACAGCAAAAGTTTGAAAAGGCACGAAAAACGTGGTCGAATTCTAGTTTCGAAAATGGATTTTAATTTTTAGATTTCCCAGCGGAATAAAAACTTTACCTTTTAATCCATTTTTCGCGAAATAAGTTAATTCTATCAAAAAAGTTTCTATCATAATTTATCTGTTTACTTGCGTTCATTGACTGTCTCCAACTGGCTATGTTTTTTTTCGATTTAGTAGCTTTTGTCTCTTTTTCTGTCGGCTTGTCTCATGAAATGTCTATCATGCCATTTCTGCTCTTAAAAGGTTTCATAAAAAACAAGGATAGCCGGTTACTGTGCAAGTAGCACAGAACTTAAGACCATAACCTTAGAAAACTACGATTTAGAAAGATTTGTTCCAATATAGTGTAGTTTTTTCTGCTTGGTGTGAAAAGAGGATCTGACGTAAAAATTTAATTGAGGCATATTAGACAGTCATAATAATATAGGCAAAGTGGACAAAATTTTTTGTGGAAAAATAACTAAACGAAAAAAATTAAGAATTTTCTGAAATTTTTGGTTCCCAAAAATGAAACTAAACTCCAAACCTAGTTTAACTTGCTTAAAATTGAGTTTAAGGATAGCCGATTACTGTGCAAGTAGCACAGAATGTTAAGACCATAGTCTTTAAAAAACTACGGCTTAGAAAGTTTTTTTTCCAATATAGTGTAGTTTTTTCTGCTTGGTGTGTTAAGAGGATCTGACGTAGAAATTTAATTTAGGCAAATTAGACAGTCATAATGATATCAAAGTGGACAATTTTTTTGTGGAAAAATAACTAAATGAAAAAAAAATAAAAGAGATTTTTGGTTCCCAAAATGAAACTAAACTCCAGACCTAATTTTACTTGCTAAAATTGAGTTTGAAAGTCTTAAATTAGGCATAGTTCAGATTGTAAACCTGCCCGCTTGCTTTTTTGCTCGAATTAAGACAAAAAAATTGAAAATTTCAAACCGTTGCTGCTCGACACTGGGAAAACTTTTGGAATTTTTTTATGTGGTTCGAATGACGACTGAAAGAGTTTTAATATGATATATCTCTCAAACCTGTCCGATGATTATTTGTGGTAGTTGATTTCGCGAGGAAAACAAAAGGCAAAAAAAATTAAAACAGACCCGAATACAAAGTTCCTACCCATTTTCAATGATCGGAACAAAAAAAGCTGAAATACACCCGAATTCAAAGTTCCTCCCCATTTTCGATGGTCAGAACAATAAGACACGTTTCAAATTAGCTATGCCAAATTTAGTCAATAAAAGCGATGGCACCTTTTTGGTCAATCAGTGGTTCAATTTCAAACATTTTGATTGAAATTCGCCGAGTAAGGAAAAACATCCGATAAGCAGAATTATGCGAGTTCATTCATTTTTCCAGCTGTGTGCTGACTGGCTGGCTATTGAATGTTTTCACTTTAATATTGATTTTTCAAATTTCACAATAAATTGTAACTTCTTGCCAAGTCGATCTCATTCTTTTGGTGACTATATAAATTAGCGTAAGGTTAGACCCGACGAATAGAAGGGATGCTTAGTGGATTTGCCCATTTAATCCCCTAATTTACAGGGACTGATATTTCAGAGTGACTTCTGATCTATCTCTGTGCTAGACAGGCCGCGTCAATTCCCAATTGCCACCAGAGAAAACGATACTCCATTTAGAAATGTTCTTTTTGTTTTTTTATTGTTTTTTACAATATATACGGGTAGCATATGCTGAGCGTAGTTCAATTGTGCCTTGTATTTTTTCACCACCACAAAAAAAAGAAATAATTTTTTCAATGTTTTGCATGCCTTAGAAATGAAGTGTATTTGGCATGTTAATCAAAGGTGCTGAGTTGAGATATGACGAAATACTGTAGCATAAAATCGGAACTTGGTAGTAATGAGATATCATGAACAGATAAGTTTATGGCATGCAAGTTTATTCAGTTCAGCAAGTCTGCTGAACTGAATTAGTTTTTATTGAACTCGCCGTTGGTTGCTTCCTCCAGGGATTTTGACTGGGAATGGATTTGAGTAATTGAAGATATTAAAGTAGCAACTGGTTCTGCGATTTCCAAGAAAAGCAAACTGTCCCACAGTATTTGTTGGAAATTTGCAATATTTGTGCAGACCATCGCATATTTACCCACGAAATAGAAAGGGGCTGCAATCTATCGCTATCTCGGTTAAAGCTGGGCCAAATTTGTTCAGATCTCTTTTGAGGTAGTTTGTGATCAGTTTAACTCAATTTACAAAATCTAAATTGCGGCTGGAATATTTTCATGCTCTGTCAAAGTAGTTTTTATTCAACTAAATTAAGAAGTAAACTATTAAAAACATACGAGGGATTTGGCATTAGATCTAGAAAGACTTAAATTTGAAAGATTTACTTAAATTGGGCTTAAACTCTTTTAAGCTTAAAATTGGTATAAAATTTAGAGAATTGTTCATAGCGGGGATTTATGTGGGATCAAAATTTGTAGATTGGTTGAACTCGAAATAAACTATCAAATATTTAACCCAGGGCCATATATCAAGCCGTTCTCTAAAGTGCGCTTCCCTACTTAACCGTTAGAACATGCAAGTTTACAGAAACATAATGTTTGTGTTTTGGTTCTGAATTTTCTTGATCTGAAATTGAGCATTCAATCAAAATGTTTCCGCTTGTTCGACGGGGCGTCGAGTTGTACTTTTACTAAGCCTTGAAAGGAAGCTTCAGGGAATTTTGCCATAAATGGATTTTGTTAGAATCACGCAGTCATGTGTCATTTAACGGACTAATCGAACCCATTGGGCTTTGTTTAACAACATTTAAATGTTCTGAATTAGCTTGAAGATTTCATGCGGTTCGGTAAAATTAACCAACTCTGTAAAATTTGGAAAGCGGAAATTACAATTATGAAGAGCGTTAAATGGGTAGAGATTCAATCCAGTATGTTTTTGAAATAAATTTACAAAATGGTTTGGTGTTAGGCTCTATCTAAGTCCGTTTTTGGCTTTCTTTGACTTTTACTCATCTGATAGAACTGGTCAATTGTTTGCGGCATGTAATTTTTAACAGTTTCAAGTCCAAAGATGAAGCCCAAGAGTATTGAAGCTAATGTTAGACCTATAGTAATTGCGATTGTCAGCATAGCGTCCATTTGGTATCCATATATGGAAAGAAGAGGTATGCCCCAGATAGATATCTGACTGAAACCGACAAAGAATCCAAGTCCAGTACTTCGGAATTGAGTGGGCAGGATCTCACAGCTGTAGATTACAAGAATGTTTTGAGCACTAAACGTAAATTCAAGTCCAAAAACTGCTAGGAACCAAATCGAAAACGGTAAAAGGTGAGGTTGCATGAAGGTCAGAAAAACGTGCAATAGCATGGCGACGAAAGTGAGAGCCAATAAAGGGTATTTTCTTCCAACAGCATTTATAACCAGACTGATGTACCAACTGCTCAGTTTAATCAAGGAAAGAAAGACGATGAATTTGATTCGACTTTCGATTGCAGTTTGGTAAATGACTGCAAAGTGGAACATAGGAAAGAAACATGAAACCCAGGCGAGCATGTTGAAAATAATAAGCATTGTAGTTCGAAATGTCCCGCACAGTCGAAAACAGTTGCCGGAAGTGGTATGGACTTTGACAGTTTTAGAGTCCAGCATAGAAGCTGAGTCTAGTTCTAGTTCTTCGTCAGAAATGAGTTCATCTTCGTCGCCTTGAAACATATCTTCCTTGTACTGGGTTCCGAGATTGTGAGGTCTTCCGGTAAGTTGGATCCGTCCAGCCGTTTTTCCATTTACAGAGGCGATAGACCTCAATAGACTCTCGGCATTCTTGTGGTCTCCGATGTAGAAAAGCCACCGTGCGCTTTCGTAGACTTTCAAAAATACGAGAACTAGAATCAGAGATTGTAGGCCTATCATAACCAGAACTTGATTTTTCCACGAGGGTATGTAGGCTGAAGATAAAGCAGCGCCCAGAAATCCGCAAGTCGAAAATGTCACGAGGGTGACAGCGATTCGGGCTGCATGTTTTGGAGTGCATGATTCAATTGAGAGCAGCAAACTTTGAGAGAGCATTGGATATTGGAAGAAACCGAATAAGATCTGACATAGAATGTAAATTTTGATCTTAGGGGCAAAGATAAGGCCAATTGAACAACATAAAGAGAATAAAATACTGGGAATTAAGAGTGTTTTTCGACCGAGTAAGTCTGCAAAAATGCCCGTAAAGAAGCAACTAAGTATGAAGCCAACAAGAAAAGCATATTTGACTAATATCTTGAAAACATCTGCATAAGGTTCACAATCAAAATCGAAAGATGATAAAATGGAATTGGATGGCTCCTTTTTGTATTTTTTGGTTCCGCAGCATTGTGGTGCATTTTCATCAGGAATTACTGGTTCAGTTGTTGCAATTTTAGGTTCCCGGGGATACAGTACAGTAAAAAAGCTGGAAGTAAGTTCTTTGTCGTGGCCTTTGCTTTTATCTTCTTGTACTTCTTTCTGGTCAGATACGTCATGGGTTTTCACAGAACTAACGTTCGTTGTACTGCTAGGTGAAATCTTCCTGTCGAGAATTGGTGGCTCGGAGATTTTTTCAGTCACGCATGTGAATTCAACTTCGTCAGAGTTTAAAAATGGCACCATAAAAGGCCAGCCAGAAAAGCAATGTATGATAATGCTGGTAAACAGAATCCATTTTTGGGCTTTGCCAAAAGTCCCGGCCTCGTGAAAAGCGTCTTCAAACTGCATGGTTACTTTTTTCAGTTTCAATTCAAGTTGTACAATTATAACAAAAGTCTGGCTCAAAGAAGGCCTAAGAAATGACTTGATTTTGGCGTGCTCTTAATCTTTGGCTTGTTAAGTTAAGTAAAAAAAGTATTAAGTGATTCTTACATTGTCAGATTTAGTTTTGTACACGTAGATTGCACAACGCTCAACGTAGAAACTAACAACGACTGGTGGTTAAGTCGGTCTAGTTTTAATTTGAATTATTTTATAAAACAACTACAAAGTAGACGCTTACTTTGAAAAATATTTTTTAGTGTCAATGCGAGTGGTTTAATGTGGGTCGTGTTTTTTTCAGGACGTTTTGCCCGGTTTGTTTTTTTGATTTATCAGGTTCAGTTCAAATTAATTGCAAAATGGAGGAAAATTACGCTCTGTAGTTATGAAAAAGCGGCGCAAAAAAAACGAAAGACTCAGTTTAAAACAGGCGAGGATCTAGGAATTTCAAAAATTTTAAAATGAAGGGATTTTGATTTTCAGATTTTCCGGCTGAATAAAAATTTTACTATTGATCTTGTCTTCTCAATTTGGGTTATTTTATCAAAAACATGTTAATAATAAAGGGTATACATATTTTTTAAGTGTCAATGGAAAGAATGAAGGCAATTATGTAGGTCGTGATGAATTGTTTTTCGTTTTTTTTTTCAGAATTTCTTGAAATTTTTTCATGCTCAAATTTGTTTTTTCGAGGTTTGGCTTCTGATTTATTTTCAACTTCAGCTCATTTCCTTTGTTAAAATTGGGTTTTCTTAAAATTCCAGTTTTCCCAAATTGGGTTATTTTATTGAAAAGGCATCAATCTTAAATTACTCAATTTTTTACACGTAGGTAGCACCATGCTCAATGTAGAAATTAACAACGACTGGTGGTTAGGTCGATCTAGTTTTAGTTTGATAAAACTTATAAAAACAAATACAAAATAGACGTGTAATTTGGTGCTGCCAGGATACACTAAAGGATGCAGATCTTATTTTCAATCTATGTGGTTTTTATGAGTTGTTAAATATTCGAAGCACCGGAGATGCATTACATGCTAGTTTGATTGAAATGAAGAGCGTTGCTTTATAAGATTGATCACTCTTCTCAGTTTTGACTTAGTGAGGTTAGTCGCTGTAAATAAATTGAGAATCTTCTTTACTTAATTGCTTCTAGCCACGACCTGCTTTCAGCGCAAAAAAGTAACTGATTTTGGAAAGTCAAGTTTATGACCGTTTTTTAGAAACTTTTTCTTAGTAACTACTCTATCAAATCTGAGATGAAAATTTCAATCGAAAGAGGCGGTTGTGTGAATTTTTCTTGCAGAAGCTGCTGCCCCTTAATTTTTTGTAAGAGAAAGGTAATGTCTGTGAGAAAATTTCAATATCTCAAAAATCTTCACTTACTTATTTTAGTAGAGAAAATTTTGAAATTACGATTTTCATCCCGCGTTAGTATCTATTCAAAAATATCAAAAAAGTACCTCCAACTGTAGATGGACCCTAGGTGTTATTAATCGAAACATACGAAAATTTTGGTTTAACTTTTCATTTTCAACATTTTTCAGTTATGTTCTGTCGATTGTGTTGTATCGCAAGTGATGCGAAGCTCCGCTTTGCCTGCAGGCTGCTCAAACTGGCCACTTAAGTGACCTGGTCACTTATTTTTTCCGGGTCACTTTTGTTGAAATTGTTGTGCGTATCGAAAGAACCCTAGCAATTATCGAGAATTTTTCCAGATAAGATCTTGGGTCGTTGCATGTTCAATCAGACACTTCACCAAGAGTTCACTTGGGCGCTTCACGTTAAGAACGAGTCGTTAAGTTGCTAAGTCGTTAAGAATTAGAGAAAACAGCTGTTGTTGAACATGCCGATGCTATATCTGCAAGTGTGATAAAAAAATTTGCAAGTGTGATAAAACACTTTTTTTCTCTGACCGGTTTGAGCAGCCTGTTCGCCTGTGTTAAAATTGTTTTAAAAGGGAAAAATTGAAAGAGTTGACCATCTGTCAGGTTAAGCCTGCCATATCCCTGAAGCCGTTACATTCGAACATTGAATTGTAAATTGTTTTGAATTTTTTTCAAATCCTTAGTTTTTTCAATCTTTTTGTTTTCATCTTTTCTGAATTAAATTGGATTCAAGAATGAAATTAGCTCTCTGCAACGAAAACTGCGTTGTAAAGTGAAAATAGCTCTCGTTACATTTTTAAATCCTGTTTCAGAATCAAAAATTGAAGCGTTTTGGTACATTCAAAAGTTTTATGATGGAATCATTGATTCTGATGAAAATTTAATCTAATGCAAGGTTTAAAAAAACTGAAAAAATAAAGATCATACAAAAAGTAGACCGTTGCTCTTCAAGAAAAACAAAAAAATTCAAATTTGTGTTTTTTTTTGGGTGTGGTGCGATGAGATGATCATCACGAAAGCTAAAATTTTCTATTATGTACTCACATTCGAGTACAGTTGTTTTTGAAAAACGAAAAAAAGAAAATCAAAAAAAAAATTTGAAAAAAGACTTTTTATTGCCAAGAAGACGCTAAATGAAGATTCAAAACTAGTTTCAATGGCTTGATGACGTACAAGTCCAATTATAGCTCGAAATTAGACAAATAAACAAAAGATTTCAACCGGGTTTTTCTCAATACTGATAAAACAATTTTTAAAAGTTATGTCGATCGATTCATGACTCAAAGGGCTCCAATATAATATATCATTCGAAAGCGTTTTTAGTTTTTCTTGAATACGCTTGAATAGGATACCACACTTGAACTACTAATTTTTTTGGAGTACCCGCAATCTCGCGGAAAAAATTCAGCCACGCCATAGTTCTTTCTCCATTTTCCGAGAGTGGTCGCACTATTTTCATAGTTTTTCAGCCTAAATGATTATTATTATATATAATGAACATTGCTCGATCGCTTTACTTGCTCGAAATTAGACTAAAATTCATAAATTTTAACCATGTTTTTTCAACACTGAAGAAACTTTTTGGAAACTTTTTATTGTCGTTCGAATCACGACTGAAAGGGCTTCAAAATGATATCACTCGACCCATTCCGATGAATATTTGTGGTACCTGATTTTGCGTGGAAACAAAAAGAAGAAAACTAAAACGCACCCAAATACAAAGTTCCTCCAAAGTTTCCTACAAAGTTTTCAAATGGTCGGAATTTTTTCCCAGCTCTGCTAATGCTTCTTTTCATACAAAATTCAAGCGTTTTTTGAATTGCTTATGCTATCTTAAACTTCGTCAGTCTTAAATAACAGTCTTTTTTCGGGGAGAAAAACTCTGGATTTACTGGCGCTTTTAGCTTTCTCCTGACTGTGTTCAATCTGAATATCGTGGATGCAAGTTTTGAATTAGTTTTTTCAATTGTATTTTTTCAACTTCTCTTTTACAATTGTTTACGCAAGGTTTTGACGCTTGCACAAACGAAGAGTGTTTGAAACTTCATCTTGATTTTTAAGAGTAATGAAAGAATGAGTATAGGTTTTGGTGATTTTCTTGTGTTTTTTTTTTCAGGAAATTTGTTTACGCTCAGTTTTGATTTTTCGCGGGTTAACTTTTGATTTCCTTCTTAAAAGGAAGGAAAACTTCACTATCGAACAGGAAAGATTGAAAGGTCACTGATTCGAAAATGGAATTTATTTATCAGATTTCCCAGGGGAAAAATACCTATTGATCCAGTTTTCTTTATTAGATAAATTTTATCAAAAAAGAACCAATCATAAAATTTTCGTGAAAATTAAAGGCAAAGAGCTTTAAGGGCATATATTTTTTCTTTAAAATTTAAAGGTTTTTTCAAGTCAGTTTTTTTTCTGTTTCCTTGCGTTCATTATATTTTTTCCAACTGTCAGTTATGTTCTATCCAATACCAAACTGGACGACTTTTTGTTGCGGTCGTTTTTTTTCATACAAATTCAGTTGCCGCAAACGTCAGGTAAGGTCAAGTGATAGATAGATATACATTTGAGTTGAGCTGCAATGTTAAATTCGGAAAATGTTCCATAATCGTGAGAAAGTGGTCTGAGGTTTTTTTGCTTTTCAGACCAATTGAGAGTTATGAATTGAATTGACGAGTTGCGTCTTTTTGCGGCATTTACCCCAGTAAAAGTAGGTCTTGTATCGTGTTGATTAAAAGTTGTTAAGGAAATTAGCTAAAAAAGTCATTTTAGTTTTTGCTGTTTTTTCAAATTTGTTCTTTTTTATTTTCAATTTGTTTTTTATTACTAAAGTAGAAATGGCGCAAAGAAACGTGAATAAGTTTTAATTACGGATGTGGATTCTAATTTTTTTGATTTAATAACTGTCAAGCATAAAAGGTTCTTAGAAATCGAAGAGCTTCATTTTTATGCATAAAAAACTAGAAAGATCTCAAATGTTTTTAAAATTTTTAACGGACTGTCGACCATGATTTTTTTTTTTTTTTTTTAGTTTCATATGTTCGCTCTGTTAGTTAATTGGAAGATAAATTATATTTTCAATTTTAAGTTTACAAACGGCGCGAAAAAAAGTTGGCTAAAAATGACATTTGTTAATTTGACGTGCTTTGGATTTTTGGTTCAAAAAATATTTCTTAGATAGTCAATTTTTTGAGCAGTTAATTTTATGCACGTAGCAGCAGGATAGACATAGAAACTACCTAAGACGACTGGTGGTTAAGTCGATCTAGCTTTATTTTCCAAAACTATCAAATGAAAAAAGGCTTTCATTTTTTCAACTTCGTTTTTCCGTGTCAATGAACGAAATGAAGACCCTCATTTAGGTCGTATTTTTCTCAGAACTAAGAAGTTTGGTTAAGTTGTTTATCAAAAAATTTTCCATAATAAAAATTGATATATATATTTTTTGGAACTCGGAAGCTCAAGTTTTCTTTTGTTTGTTTAGTTTTTGGATCGTTAATCAGTGCCGGTGCAAGATCATTCTGATTTTTTTGTTCCGACCATTGAAAACTGGAAGTAACTTCTGTTTTCGTTTTTTTTTTTTTTCAACGCGAAATCAGGTCCCCCAATAAATCATTGGAATGGCTTGACTGATATATCATATTGAAGCCCTTTCAGTTGTTACTCGAACTAACTTTAAAAAAATCAAAAATGTGTTGCAGTGTCGAATTTTTTTTGATGTAGTCTGATTTCGAGCAAAAGCCGAGATCGAGTAACGCTAGTTATATGGACATTGACTGTTTTTCTTAGACTTCTAAGCTAAAAACTTGATTTCATTTCGAAGAAAACTAGTTTTAGATGGTTTATTTAGCGCTTGAATTTCAGTTTTTTTTTTTTTTTTGTATTTATTCTTTGTAGTTTTTTTGAAGACAAATATTGTCGAATCACGCCACATACTAAAAACGCCACAAACTTTAAGAAAATGAAAAAACTATTTTCTTTTTTATCTACGATTATGGTCGGAACATTCTGTCTTACTTGCACAGCAACCAGCTGTCCTTGAGTTCCGGATATTCATTGGAATGGGTTGCTTCATATATCATATTACAGCCCTTTCAGTCGTGATTCGAACGAGTTTTTCAAATTTCGAAAATAGTTTTCAGTGTCGAGAAAAACCGATTTGAAATTTTTCATTTTAGGTCTAATATCGAGCTGATAAGTTTGTTAAAATAAGATTTGCCGGCTTACAATAGCTTATCTAAGCATAATTTAAGCTGTGAAAATTTAGTTTTACTATTAAAGTGAGTTTTTGATTTTTTTTTGCGCCATTTTTGGAAGCAAAAACTTCAAAAATTAATTAAAATCTGCAAAAAAATAGAAAAATAAAAATAGTTTTTCAATTTTTTTTTTGTTTTTCCAGTCATTTTTCTACAAAAACTGTTTTCCAATCGGCCAATTTGTCTACGACTGTCGATTATGCCTAATTTCTTTTTTTCGTTCAAATTTTTTTACCACAGAAAAAACGACACATGCTCGGAACATTGTATTTTTTAAGACCAGGCTCGGAACATTCTGTGCTATTTGCACGGTAACCGGCTATCCTTGTTTCCAATAGTTAAAACTTGAGAACATAAGCTTCGTTGATTTTTTTAACTATATCTTATTCGTTAGGGTAGCAAGTGGTGCTCGAGCTTGCCTCGTTCGTTTAATTTCGCTTTACATCTATGCCCTATAATGTAGCTCGATCAAATTTGGAAGCAAATCGATCAAATTTGGTTTATTTTTACTGCTTCGTCAGTTCGGTAATTCTTCTCCAATCCATCGCTATCTGATTATTAGAAGCATATTATTTTGGAAATAGTCTGCTCAGTGAAAAAAGTTTATTTCAATTTCAGTATGCTGCAGTCTAGGTGGTTGGTGCCTTGCTGAATTTGTATACGTTTATGGTAATTTTTGTTAATTGTTTCAATTGAACTAATAACTCAACTGAAATTTGGCAATGTTCATTATTTCATCTATACATCATAAATTGACTGATAGTTTAAGAGCGAAAGTTTAAATATCACGATCACAATCATCATCTGAAGTGGGCTCTTCTATCCTCAGTCTTCTTTTATTCTGCACCAATAAGTAATACTGCTCAATAGTCTGAGGCATTCCTCGGTTCAGCGTCTCGACTTGGAAAAATACACATAGCACGAAAGATATGTAACCGCACAGTGCGAAGAAACCGTAAGGAATGTAGTCTGATATAGATCCTGCCTGAATGACATAAGGTCCGATTATGGTTCCGATTCGAGCAGCACCGGAACAAATGGAAAGTCCTGTCGTTCGGAGCACAGTAGGAGATTGCTCGGGAATGTAGACGAAAAGTAAATCAAAAGCTCCCGTAGCTAAAAGTTTTCCGACCATAGCTATAACTATGGACAAACTAGGCACGTATTGGTTTGTTATGGGGATACAAGTGCAAGCGATTGAGCATACTAAAAGGCAAAACAGAAGAGTCGGTTTGCGTCCAACGTAGTCCATAGATAGAACGACGAACCAAGCAGGCAGCTCTACAAGAGCTAGTAAGGCACTGTTGAAGTAAATGTTCCCGCTGATTGAAGAAACCCCAAACGCGAGTCCGAAATAAACCATACAGGAGGAGAAAAATGTGAACAAGTTCGTGAGCATAAGAAAGCAGCTGGACCGAGTTCCGAATAAAGCTTTGACGTTAGGCTTTTCTTTTTCTTCGATAGTTGTTGACGCCTTGATGACCTGAGGATCCAAAGTCGGAATGAGCTTTTCCGAGGCGTCGTAGTGGTAGCTAACGGGTGACGATGGTTCGGATCTGGAAACAAATATGTTACTCATTTCATCGGCTGAAGAGTCGTGTTGACTACCGTTTGTTATTGGACGATGGTCACTGTTCGTTTCACTGTGGATCATTCCGTGGAAATTCGTGCCGTTAATCCTGGAAACTTTTCTCATAACTTTCTCGCATTCATGAATGTGTCCGGTTTGGTAAAGCCATTTAGCGCTTTCAGGAAGAAAAAAGAAGATTAAAATAAGAACTAAGACTAAAAAACAGGTCATTGCACCTAGCTGAATCCGCCATGAGTCTCGTAAGAGATAGCCCATAAGAGCGGCCAGAGCTTCACCCAGACCAAAAACCACTGCCGTTGACATTCCGATTTTTCCGAATTTCTCTTTATCGACCCACTCGGCGACAAGAATAAAGACGACACACGTCAGAGGATAATGAAACATGCCACAAACGAATCGCATGGCTATAAACTCGTAGATGTTTTGGATAAAAGGCAAAAGTGAAGATGCAATGCAGTAAATGAAGCAAGTGAATAAAGATACTGTTCTTCTTCCAAACATGTCAGCCAGGGTTCCCATGAATAAACAACTAAGCATGAATCCGGCCCAGAAGGCGGAATTGGCTGTGGATACCAACGTCGGACCATTTCCACAAGCGAGGTCAAAATCAGACACCATAGATGAAGGCGTTGATCTGTAAACATAATACTCACAGCCATTGACACATTCATTGTCGAATTTAGTTATGTTCGCATCATCTAAAGTGTCGTTCACGCATTGAAAGTCGACATCAATTGCGACGAATACGGAAACGATTGAAGGCCAACCGATGTAGATTTGGACTATGACGCCGACTAGGATGATGATGAACTGAGCTCGTCCAAACATTCCGACTGTCTGGAGAGATTGTTCCAGAGGTGATTCCGCTTCCATGACTCTTAATCTGATGACAATTAGTTTAATGACGTATCAAATGGCGTGAACAATTTAGACGGGCGCGTAAGAATGGCCCAGCTTTTGTTTTAGCCTCTTGGCTACAAGGTCAGCTATATAAAAATAAGGAAAGAACTTCTCAAGTTGCGTTAATGCTGAAACTTCTTTGCTTGATTGTGTCTCATGTGAAGAATTTCAATATGAAGAGTGTCGAAAGAATTGAATTGTTACGTAACCTCAAAAGTGTTTGTTGCGTAATACAAAACCAACGAAGAGTACGTTGCTATTTTGCGCGTGCTCGAAATTTGAAGGTTGTCACTTCTTCAAAGCTTGGTTGCTCGTAAAGTACTCAGATTCTTTCGGTACCGAAGCTCCATATTTATGTCCGACAAACTGGATTTAACTCCTCTGTTATCAAATCTTCTACTATCCAAAGTCGAACAAATTGTTTCATTTACTGTTCAATTGAATCATGTTTGCCAGTCGTGTCGTTGGTCAGAACAACCAGTTTGCTTTTCGTTTCAATTAGCTTTGACATATTGTTAAATAAGCAGAGTTCCGAAGTCCTAAATTGGCAAAAAGTTTCACTCAATGGTGGCATCCAGTTCTCAAATCTATCAAACTACCCTGAAATAAAAGTCATTTGGTTATGAAGGATTGAGTTTTTGTTTCATAATTATTTGTTTCAAAACAATTTGAATGCAAGTTTCAAATTTGCGAGCTGTGAATCAGGCTTCCTAAAAAATCTATAAAGAGGTTGAAAATTTATCTAAAAATTTTATCAATAACGATGGAAAAGTAAAGAACTTGCCAGTTGTCTTAAGCTATTTTTAAGAATAAGTCCACGTCCTATACTGCCAAGTTTGTGCTTTAGTATCTCATTTCCCGCTGTATGGAACTCAGGGGGAAGTTCTAGCAGATTTACTGCACTATTCAGCTTTAATGATTGAAAGTTTAGGGTTGGATCTCTCCTCTGTTGGTCTGGAAGCACCAGTTTGAATTTACGAGCTACCTTACTACAGCAATTAAAAACTTATCAATTCCTGGAGGATGAACCGAAGGGAATTTAATCTCATCGAGTGACTTAAAGAGTAGAGTCATTAAGACGTAGAGTGGGCATCAGTTAAAGAGCAGTTTGTATAAATACTCATTATCTAAAAGATAATTATCGAAAAAAGAATCTTAAAAAAGTTTCATTTCTTATCAAACATGAAAACATTTTGAGCGAGTATGTTGTTTTGAAAAACAAAATTGGGAGCTGAAGTTCACCTGCGTCAAAATTAAGTAGGATGTGAACATAATTCGTTTAACATCTCACTAAATCACCAACCAAATTACATGTCAATCGGATAACAAAATGTTTCTATCTTAATATTTGCTTGATCAAAATAAGTGCGAAGATTTGAGTATGCTTGGGAAATATCAAGTTGGTCCAATTCATGATAAAGGTTTTCGCTGCCATTAGCAGCGTCTTCACTTTTGCAGGGAAACAAAGACCTGGAACTTATTTTGAGATGAATGTTCTGAATTGAAAGATTGCTTCTATGATTCATCAGCAATGATGTAATTTGAGGCAAAATGGAGTTGTCAATTTTGAGACTGATTTTTCGGAGACTCGTGAAATTGACCAATGGTTGAACTGATTTAAAATTGCGCAGTACTCCTAAAGTTAAAACCTCAATCGAATCTGAGTTGATTGCTTGTAGGCTTTGAGGTAGAGTTGAGTCTGTGAAATATTTCACGATTGGATCGTGAATAAAATCAAAGTCGACGTCAATTTCTAATCTTTTCAGTTTCCGGTTGTCGTTGTGCTGAATAAATTTCTTCAGACCGAGAGGAATTAACCCAATGATAGTGAGTGATTCAATAGCATGTAGAGGGGTTAGCGAGTCTGAAGTCTGGAGACTGTCCTTGTAAATTTCAAATTTGGGCTTTGTTTCGTATGGCGGAAAAGATCTGAACAAATAAAATACATTAAATACAATTCAGAAAAAAAAACAATGGGCGTTTATAAGTTGGATATTTTTTTGTGAAGAAACTTTGTGAACTTACCCATGGTCGGCAATACTGATTCTTTTCATTGTCGGACAATTCGATAAGAGCTCTGGAAGATTAATTGGCACAATATAACTCAATTCAATGTCCTGCAGACTAGTACAAAATGGGTTACCAGTTTCTAGTACGGTCGCGGTCGAACCCCACATGTCAAAGGTAGTCTGTTTGCGTCCCAGAAGTCGAAAGGTTTTCAAATAGGGGCAGCTTTGTAATATTCGAGACGGATCTAGTAGTTGAAAAGGGCCATTGTCGTAATTAGCCGAAGCCTCAATTAGAAGACAAGTAAGTCGATCATGTATCTTCAAAAACTGAGGTAAATTAGCTTTGATGTCACATATTTGCGTGTCATCAACAGCTTTTAATTTTGCTAAATGTATTTCAACTGAACGTAATTTCCAATTTGGCTGCGCGGAAATCATTTTTTCACTTCTTTCAATGAGGCTGCGGAAATTAACTTTGGTAAGGTTGTGTCTTCCGAAACTATGGTTGGTGTATTTTTTCACGCCAACATCCAAATGTAGTTTCAAATAAGATGAACAAATTACTCGATTTATTGCTGAGTTGGTGAGAATTAAGTTGACGACGTCTTTCGGATGAAGATGATTGCAAATTGACTCGATTACGCAAAATGGCAAATTCTGAAAATTTTCATCCATAGCGACCTGAAAAAATTCTGTTGAGAACGCACTAGAAATGTTGAGAGTACTAATGCAGGGGAATAAAAATGACACAGTTTTTTGCAACGCCTACGTAGCTTAGCGCAAATTATAGGCAGGCCGCAGGCCTTTATTCAATGGACTAAACGTGACGAGACGACTGTAATGCAAGGAATATGAGCTATAATAACGTGTATTTTCTAAAAGATATTTTCGCTGTGGTTAAATTCAACTAAGTTGGTCCCGACTTGTGTTATATTCAGCTTAAGCTATGCAATGAACGATTTGGTGGTAATATGTGTGTATAAGCATAATCTAGACCGTCTTTCGATTCGTAGAGCAGACATGCTTGAATGTGGTACCATTGTCGTTGCTAATGTATTTGGATTCAATCTCGTTGGAATTAGCTACTTAGCTCAAATGAATAAAAAATTACTAGATGACCAAGTAGGTACCTTGGTCATCAAAAAAATCTCCTTGGTCATCTAAAAGTTGATATGGGATTTGAATTTGTCAAGTTTGATAAAGTTTCTAGTGTTAATGATGAAAACCGACTATATGCAAAGGAATTAACCAGATTAGTCAATTGATGTGCAAGTAGCCCCGAAGTTTCGACAGCATTCATAAATTTCGGCTTATTGTTCCGACTTTCGTAACGAAAGTAACGGAATATTTGTGCTCGGGTTGGTTTTTTTCTTCAGACAAATTTCGACTTTTTAAGTAGCCATTTTTGACGGAGTTTTTTATATCATTCAAAGGTTATTGTTGTCCTGAGCTCAAATTTAAAAGGATATTTCACCTGTGATCATATTTTGTAAAGTTATGGAGGTTTAAAGATTACCATTTCGGCCAATTTTGGACAATTAACGCGCGATTTATTTCGCGCTTTTAACACGCGTAAACGGAGATTTAATCCGTCTTAGAAATTGGTCGAAGGAAGCTAGTTTTCCATAAATGGTTTGTTACTAGAAGCGAAAGCTATCACTTTGTTCTTAATATGGAATGTGGGGGGATGATTTTCACAAAAAAAAATTTAAAAAATTTTCATTTTAGTTTTTTTTAATAATTAATTTTTCCACGTTATTCCTGCTCCATAGACCTTAAAAGGCAGTCGGAACATTCAGGGATTGGCATTGATACAAGCAGTTTTGTTTTTTTTTTCAAATTATTTGAATTTGAACCTTAAGTTTCTAACTTAATCTTCAGAAACAGTATGATCATTTGTTTTTGAAATTTTGCCGCAAATCGCGGTAATTATCGTTCATTATTCAGGAACTCAACTATCATAATTGTACCGTGTGTTGTTTCTGTGTGAGGAGAGATAAATAAGGAATCAGACAAAAGCTTAGAAAATTAGTGAATTAGGATTCATGTACTACCGTTGCATTCGAAAAAATGAATAACAACAAAAAGAAAATTAGAAGCTTTTTCGTAACAATTATTTTAACTTTTCTTGATGGAGGAAGCCCTAAATGAATCTAAAGTTAATTTTTTTCAAGGGTTAAACAAAAGTATTTCATATCATACCACATACTCGCTCGAAGTTAGACTAAAAAGCGAAAATTTCATACTTGTTTTTTTTCGACATTTAGAAAACTTTTAAAGAATTTTTAAATTTGTTCAAAGGGCTTAAATATGATACATCAATTGACTCACATTTTGAGGATTTCTGTGGTTACTGATTTTTAGTGGGTAAAAACTGAAACAAAAAACAAGAGTAGAGGGTTGCGGTGCAAGTGGCAATGAATTTTTCGACCACAGTTGAGAGTATTTTCATTTTTTGTCAATTTTCGACTGTTTGTTGTGCGCGATATGGGAAAAGGATTTAAAAAGGAACGCTAGTCCCTAAGCCATTTAGTTTTGCCCTTAAATGATTACTTTTGTCTATCGAAAAGAATGGAAAGTGTAAGGGATTTGAATATCGAAACTAAAATAACGCGAGTGCTTAAGAGTAAATGAACGAAATGATTTAAAGTTTTTTTAAGCCGTTTCTTTATACTTTTTAAAAATAGTTTAGCACATATAATTACTTAACGGCAAATAATACGAAAAAATGTGATTGGCTTCGTGAGTGATAATTTCATGGGTGGATTTTAATTTTAAGACGTGGAACTGGACTTTAAAATTATCTATTGATCCAGTTTTCTCAGGTTGGGAAAGTTTTATTACACAAACGATCAGCTTAGTGTATTATTACGTGCCATCTTTTTTTCTAACCTAACTCGCAATCAAATTTTATTCTTATTTGAAAATTTCACTGTAGCATTGGAAATTGCATAGCATCTGTTCTCTGCTTTACTTCTGGCTTGTGTTTCGTGTCTATTAAGCGTCAGTGGATGAGTGTTTAGTGTGTGAGACTCTTAATCTCTAGATTTTAGGTTCAAATATCAGCCGTAGCCGATTTTTTTTTACTAATTCGAGGCTTATTTCTATTTTTTTCTTGTTGCACTTTTCACAGCTGCTTTTTGACGTGTTCTCGCTGGTTTTTGCGAATCGAAGCTTCGCATCTGTGTGAAAATTGTGGCGATAAGAGAGGTTTGCATGGAAATTCAAATAATTGTTTGCACGTGATATATTTATCCTCCTAGGATGTTGAAAAAATTAAAAGAGTCATTTTTTGAGTTCATTGATGTTTTTCAACTTTGTTTGAAAAACGAAAATATGAGGCAGTATTTTTCTTAGAACTCGAATCAAAGCTGAAACGTCTTCATAATTATTAGAATCTTGATCAGTTTTCTCTGAGGTAGTCCAAATCAGCCGGAAAAAAATAACCCTACGCCATAGTTTCTTCTCACTTCGTTAAGTGGTCGGAACCTTAAAACTGTAGAGTAGGTCTTGTAAAAAATATTACAGTCAACATCAAAATTGCTTATTCTGATTCGTTTTCATACGTTATTAGTGTCCATTTTTATGTTGATGGTCCATATTTACCTTGAACTCAATTTTGCAGCCAAATTGATATCTGTGATTGCTGTGATTCAAAGTGATTGCTGTCAAATAAGTCTATTTTTACGAGTAATTTTCGTTCAGTGTTTAACGAGTGTGGAAAGATTATGGTCGTTTTTTATTCTATACTTATCCTCTAACCAATTGCAACTAATTAAGTGTCAGTTAACGAAGTGTTTTGTCCATCATTCAGGTCATGAGATTGTTTTGTTTTTGCACTCAGATTTTGTTTGTAGGGGTTTGAGTTGTTGTTTTTTATTAAGTGCAATCCAAATTCATTTGCTAAAACGAAGGCAAACTACGTTTTCCAATTACGGAAAAGGAACTGGAAGGAAAAAGTGAATGATTTTAAGTTGCAAAAAGGATTTTATATGTTAGATTTCTCACCGGAATGAAAATGTTAATTCTTGATCACATTTTTCAAATTGTGTTTATTTTATGAAAAAAGTGACAATCAAAAAATTTTCTTAAAATTTAAAGAGCTTCGATGTGATATTTTTTTTTCTCCGAATTTCGAAGATTGAAAAATGCTCACGAAAAATTGTTTTTTTTTCCAGTTGATTTTCCAGTATTTTTGATTTTTTTTTAGATGTTACATTAGAGTTTTGGCGATTAGTTTGTTATATAAGGTTTTCAGGGGATATCTAAAATTTAAAACCTTTCAAGCTTGTTAAGCTTTCTCGAAAATATCGCTTTTTTCCTAAAAATGATAAAAATATAGCTTTTTTCATCTTTCCAGTTGTTTAAGAGTCGGGAAACATCGTTCAGACTCTTGTATAGGCCGCGATGGTTTTTTTGCTTTTTTTTAGGTAAAAGTCGTAAAATTTGTTCACGCTTAATAGATTTTTCGCCTTTTGACTCTTGATTGTTTTTTAAGTACAGTTCACTTCCTTTGTTAAAAGGAAGGTAAATTCCACTATCAAACAGCTAAAAGGTGACGAAAAACTTGATCGACTTCTAATTTCCAAAATAGAATTTAATGAACAGATTAACCAGCGAAATTAAAAATTTTTTTCGATCCAGTTTTCTCGAATTCGGTTGATTATGTCAAGCATAAATTGTTTTAGAAATTCTAAGAAAGGGCTTTTAGGCCATTTATTGTCTTCGAAAGTTTTTTTTTTCGTAAAACAAGTCAGTATATTTTTTGTTTCTTTGTGTTCATTGTTTCCTTTCTAACTGTTTGTTGGCTATATTTTCAAAAATAACATAAAATTTTTATTGTGTTTTAAAGTGATAATAAAAAGTTGGTCCGAAATAATTTCACCAAAACTATTTATTATGCTCCACTCAATGGGGCCTCAACTTTGTTTTGGATCTGTTTCACCTCCTTAGTGTGTGCCAACTGCTGATATTCCTCGATTGTTGTAATATACGGCTTATCTTTTGTCTCTACTCCAACTAAGAACACTGAAATGCAAGTTATCAATCCGCTGACTGCAAAAATAATAAACGGCACTGAATTGTAAGGACCGGCCTTGATTTCGATAATGAAAGGGGCACAAATTGAAGCGATACGAGCTGCCGCTGAACAAAATGTTATGCCGGTTGTCCTCAAAACAGTAGGCAGTTGTTCAGGCGTGTAGACGTAAAGAGAATCAAAAGCTCCGGTTGATAAAAACTTTCCAAGCACTGCAAACGCGATCTGAAGGTTACCGTTTAGTAAAGGTGCTGTAAAGGGAAGTATGGCACAGGCTATTGAGCAGATGAATAAGGATATATAGAATGTGCGAAGTCGGCCGAATTTGTCCATGGCAAGGCAAACAAACCAAGCTGGTATTTCAGTAAACGTTAACAGAATAGCATTAAGATAAAAGTCACCCCCAATATTCTGCACGTCGTAAGTTAGTCCGTAGTACACCAATGAAGCCGAGAACCACGATAAAGCACCACTCAAAGTTAATAGGGCGCTAGGAACTGTTTTGAAAAGATCTAAAAGTGATGGTGTTGTTGGTAATCTGACATCGGAATCAGATTCATCGCTTGTAGCCTCAATGAGGTTTTGAGTGCTCGAACTTGTCTCGCTGTTTTGGAAGTTGTTGGCGAGATTTTCATCAGTGTCGTAAAGATGAATTGTCAACGGATCTCTGTTATTGATTTTGGCGATTTTCTTCAATACTTCTTCTGCCCTTGCGTACTTTTTCTGCGAATGTAGCCAACGCGCGCTTTCTGGCATGAAAAAGAAATGCAATACAGCATAAACATATCCAGGAACCGCTAAGACGGCAAATTGCAGATGCCAGGATCCTTGGATGAAGTAGCCGCAAAGAATACAAGAAAACTCACCGAGCACAAATGAAATCATAATTGTCAAACCCATCTTGGAAAGAATTTTTTTGTCTGCTGATTCCGCGAAAATTATGTAATCGATACTAGTGGTTAAAGTGCCGAAACCAGCTACGAATCGCAAGCCTATGTAGAGGTATATGTTGTGAGTGAAAATTATCCCAGTTGTGCTTAAACACTGGATAATAATTAGGAAAAAAGCGACATTTTTGCGTCCATATTTGTCACAAAGATAGCCGCTTACGAAGCACGAAATGAAGCATGCAATAAAATAGATAGAATTTGAAAAAGCTACCAAAAATGTGTCGCTCCCACATGCTAAGTTGAATTCAGAAACAATTGAATCGGGCTTCGATTTGTAAACGTACTGACTACAGTGGTCGACACATATTTGGTCGAACTCGGATCCATTGCTTTCAAAGACTTCGGAGAGTTTCATCGTCTGCAAATTGGAATATAAGTCAACTAGATTGACCTTGGAATTGTTTCGAGAGTCAATACAGTAAAAATCAACTTTTCGAGTTGAAAAGACGGGAATATATGTTTGCCAACCGCTATAACCCATAATGTACAAGTTCATAAACACGAGAATCCATTGTGCTTTTCCGAAACTTCCAGCCGCCTCTAAATTAGACTCGAAGTCGCCTTTGCTCATTTTTTGCCAAGAAAAATTATTCTTTGAGTTGGATTCTAACTTTCAATCGCCTCGAGTTTGAGTGGAATTTTGCTGAGTTGTAGAAAAATTGATGCTGGCTGACCTGATAAGTTGAATTGCTGGTATGATGTAATAGTTTTAAGCCTGTATAAATACCATAATAGCTTCTGCTTTAGTGTAGTTCGAGTCCAATTCTATCAGTTTAACAGCAAGAAAGATTGTGCAAATTTATATGAGCTTTGGGCTGTTTAAATAGTATTATTTGTAATGACTAGAAATGAGTGAAACAAGATTCTGTTCGTAAAAAACTTCTGCAGGTTCGCAAGTTTTTTCATTTCTTTTCAATTCAATCATTTGATCAGCTTTGCTACAAGTCCACAGCTATATCTATTTATAAATAATTTGTGTTTATTCTTGTGAGACCTATCTTGTCATGTTTAAGCTATATGGTCTGGCTAATTTAGCATGTTAGCAGTAGCATTATGTAAATTTGAACATAGCCCATTGAGTACGTTGCTTTGAAAGTTATTGTTCCGATCATTGAAAATCGGGAGGAACTTCATATTCGTCTATTTTAGTGTTTTTTTCTTTTTTTTTTACCACGCGAAATCAAGTACCACAAATAATCATCGGAACGGGTCAAGTCATATATCATATTTTAGCTCTTTCGAACATTTAATTTTCAAAAAAATTGTCCCGGTATTGACAAAAACAAGTTTAAAATTTTTGATTTTTAATGTATGTACGAGAGAATAAAGCGAGCGCGACCAGGCTTACAATAGTTTATTTATGCTTACTTTACAGGGTTGGCTTTTTAACACCCTCACAAGATTTTTAACAGTTTTTAACGTTAAAAATGTTAAAAAACGTTAAAAAACAGGGTTAAAAATTGAATTCAGTTCAAACAAATCATTCAATGATTTATCAAAAATAGTGCTCTTTTTTGAGAGCGCGTAGCACGAAAGCGAGTTTCGCAGCCTCATTCTCAGTTGGTTGCAGTATAATTCTCAGCTTGCAACGAACAACTATTTGATTGGATGTGCATGTGATCAATTCGGCGTTACTGAGAAAACAAATAAAAGCCAATTCCGAGCAAATGTTTTGGAGCTGTATTGCAAAAACTACTTCGTTTAAATATAAAATGTTAAAAAAGTTAAAATCTCGATGTTTTTAACGTTAAAAAACAGTGTTAATTAACATGGTGTTAATTAACAAGCCAACCCTGTTACTTTAAGCCGTGAAAAATAATTTCAATCGATTTTTTAGCGCCATTGTGGTAACCAAAAACTTGTAAAAAATTTTCTGCAAAAAAAATTAAAGATTTTTTTTGATTGTTTACATAATTTTCTTTGTTTTTTTTCGGTCATTTTTGTATAGAAACTGGTGTCCAGGGTGCCTTTTTACTATAAATGTCGAATATGCCTAAGGTTTATTTTTTCCTTCAGATCCTTTATCACACCACGCAGAAAAAACGCTACTACTTTGAAAAAACCTTGTTTATATTTTTTAAGACTATAGTCGGAACATTCTGTGCAACTTGCACAGAAACCGTCTCATTGTTATTTACCTAAATACACGAGATGTTTTTTGCAGTTAGACTACTGGTTAAGTAGCACACGCTGTAGACCATATCTGAAGGAAATCCTCATGTCTCAGAAATTAGTTTTCGTATTTTTTACAGAAGTCACAGGATATTTTTTCGAGCTCTATTGAATAAACAGTGCTTCTTTATTTTTTATCAATTGCTTATGTGGGTTTTCTTAAGGATTTTTTTAAAATATTTTTTACTGTGTTTTGTCAATTGGACGTTTGATTTATGTTTAAGCTCTTTCAAATCCATTTAGCAATGAAAGACAAATGGCATTCCCCAGTAGCGAATATGGAAATGGCGTGTTAAGGGTTTGACTTAGTTTAGTTTCAGAAGTGAGTTTTAGTTCTAAGATTCTCTAATGGAATAAAAAAAAATACATATTGATCAAATTTCTTAATTGTTTTTTATCGACTCTGTTTGTCTGCCAAAGTTAACCTCCATTGTTGAGTGATTTTTTCCCAAGCTGCATTTGAAAAACCCAAATGCGTGCACCACTGCTCTCTTTTAAAGGCCTAATAAACGTCCACATAGTCAGACTTGTTTCTCGTCGGATTCGGATCCTTATTTTGAGGTGAGGTTTTACATGCATCTTCCATGGGCACTCCGTCGTGGTTATTGCCAGGGCAATTGACAGCCCTATTTGTCTAGAAGAGTCTGTAAGTTTGGTGTCGGCTTGTACTTTGCCAATTTAGTTGAAGTAGTTGATAGTTTTAATTGTCTTTTTCGTTCCGATCAGCGTGGAACAGAAAACTCAGCTTTTGAACAGCAAAAGATCAATCGTTTAGAAAATAAATTTTGAGTTAAAAGTTTCCCAGCGAATGAAAAATAACCTTAAGATCCACTTTTCACAAATTGTGTTACTTTTATCAAAATGTCAGGTATAATATACATTGTTTTTAAAATTCAAAGAGATTTAAGATCATTTTTTTTCTTAACTTCTATTCTTGATTGTTTTTCAAATAACAAGACGATATATTTTTTTCTATTTCCTTGCGTTCATTGACAGTTGTCTGTTGGTTATGTTAAGTTATGTTGGAAGTACTCGGCAGAGTTCAGTAGCGCTTTTGCAGCTCATTTTTCTTATTTATTTCAAGTTAGCAGATTCGCGAAAAGGCGATGTGAAAATTTTTAATTAGACTAAATTTAAAATGTACGTGAACACATAAATGGAGCTAAGATATTTGGCCTCCAACAAAATAATGGTCATAGCTATCTGAGTCCAGCAACTTCACCTCTTTCGTCCTCGCTAGCTCTTTATACTCCTCGACAGTCGTAATGAAGGGCTTGCCTCTAGTTTCGACTCCCACGAAGAAGACGCACGTACTCACGATCAAACCACATACAGCGAATATAAGATAAGGTACTGAGTTGTAGGGACCTAGTTTCAACTCGATAACGAATGGCGCTGCTATCGAAGCTACCCTGGCTGAGGCAGAGCAAAAAGTGAGCCCAGTACTTCGCAGAACAGTCGGTAGTTGTTCTGATTGATATACGTAAAGCATGTCGAAACATCCAGCAGCAAGGAACTTGCCGATAACAGCAAACCCTATTTGAAGGTTACCGTCCAGCACCGGTTCTGTAAAAGGAAGAATAGCACATGCTATTGAGCAGATAAATATAGATGTATAGAAGGTTCTTAGACGTCCAAATTTGTCCATCGCAATACAAATTCCCCAAGCCGGCACTTCAGTTAAACTCAGTAGAATATTATTGAGGAAGAAATCCCCGCCAATATTTTGAACGTCATAAGTCAATCCATAATACACTAAACTGCATGCGAACCATGAAAGAGCGCCAGTTATTGTCAGTCTAGCTGAAGGAATGGTTCTGAACAAATCGAATAGGTTCGGTTTGGACTCAGTTTGAGATCCGACAGATGAAGTGTTCACAATCATTTCACGTGAATCGGTATCTGTATGGTCTCCGAGAAGCTCTGAAGAGTGCTTTAGACTGTCTGCAGCGTCTTCGATGTAAATCAGTGAAGGGTCTCTTCGATTTATTTGGGCAATTTTTTTCAAAGCAGCCTCGGCTTTTCGAAACTTTCGCTGAGAATGTAGCCATCTTGCACTTTCCGGCATGAAAAAGATGTGAAGTGCAATGTATAGGTAGCAAGGAACAGCCATAGCAAAAAATTGCCAGTGCCAGTTTTGCTGAAACAGGTATCCAAACAAAATGCAAGCGAGTTCGCCTATGACAAAAATGACTTGATTTGTCATACCAATTTTGGACAGTCTTTTCTTATCGATTGACTCAGCTAGAATAATGTAGTCGATAGCGCCTGATAATCCACAGAAACCATTGACAAAACGAAGAAAAAGGTAGAGATAAATGTTGTTTGTGAAAAAGATTCCTGAGGTACTGACTGCAAGTCCTATGAGCAGAACAGAAGCCACATTTCTGCGACCCAGTTTATCGCTAAGGGCGCCAGTGACAAAGCAACCGATGAAGTAGGCAATCCAGTAGATGGAGTTTGAAAAAGCAACTAGGAATTTGTCGCTTCCACAAGCCAAATCAAAGTCAGAAACGATGGAATTAGGTTTCGATTTGTATACGTATTTGCTACAGTGATCGACACAAGTTTGGTCGAAATCGGATCCGTTATTTTTGGAAGTCTCGAGGTATCTCTTTGTCGATAAGTTGGAATCGATGTCAATTTGGCTAATCTCTGAACTGTTTGAATTGTCAGCGCAGTAAAAATCGACTTCTCTTGTTGCGAAAACGGGAATGTAAGCTTGCCATCCGACGTATGACGTAATGTAGAAGTTAAGTAAGATAATGATCCACTGAGCTTTGCCAAAGTTTCCAGCCGCATCTAAGTTTGACTCAAAGTCTCCAGTGTTCATTGCTGCTATCTCTTTCTCGGTATTTTTTTTTGGCTTTCTAGGAGCACAGTACTGAGAAATGTGGCTTGAAGTGTCCGAGAGCGATCGATGGTTTAGCTTGTATTTAAAAAAATAACAGCAAAAATGTCAACAACTATATTTTTCAAACTGCTTGCAATGACTATTCGCGTGATAATTAAGAATTTTAAAACAACAGATTATAAGGGCAACAAAGTGCAGCGTTCCTATTTGGACTTAGAAATTTTCGAATTGTATTCTAACGATTACTGCTGTACATCACAGTTGTTCTGTTTCGTAGCATAACTAAGTAAAGCAAATTTGATTAAGTGAACGATGTCTGTTCAGCTGTGTACATTCATATCAGTAACTAATGGTTTTATGGTGTTTATTTAGTTTTAATTTGCGTTGTATTTTATTGAAGCTAAGCAAAAGAACGTCGAAGCTTAAAAGTAGACGTTCTTGAACACATTGAAAATGTTTGAAATTTGAATTTTTCAGGTGCCGCGGAAGCTGCTAAATGCATAAACCCACCCACTGGAGGACCCATTGCCCCCTCACAATACATCCCAGCTCCTCCTCAACCCCCACCTCCACAGTCAGCACCCGCACCCCCGGCAGCACCCACACCCCCCAACAACATCCCGGTGCCTCCCCCTGCGCCGCCGCCGATGCCCGCAGATGACTCACCGGAATCAGATGCTCCCCAGGGATCGTTTGCAGCCATGTTGGCAGGAGTAAAACTGAAGAAAACGAACAAGGTATGTTGGAACCCTTCTTCGTGCTTAAGGGATATTTACCTAAATGCTCTATGTTCACATATTGCATACTCTCATCTTTATGACCTCACCAGTATTTCTAAGGTAATCAACATTATAATTTTTTAAGTGTCAATAAACGTGGTGAAGACACTTTACAGATTGTGTTAAAAGTTGTTCGCGCGCAACTTTGATTTTTCGCGATTTGACTTTGATTTCTTTTTGAGTGCAATTTAAAATCATTTACTCAAAGAAATGCAAATTCCGCTCTCGAATAACAAAAGTTCAATTGGCGCGACAAATAATGTGAATGATTTTTAATTTCTACATAATATGGCTTTATGCTTTGCGATTTGTTACATGCAAAGTTAGTGTGGATGCCTTCATTTTATTATGTTCCAAATTATTATTTGCAGAATTTTGTCTATTTTTGTTTGGTACCTTTTTGCTGAATCGCGTTGGCATTTATTAGCATATGTAGCTGCTTTATTCGTGACTAGTGTTTGTCAGTTGTTAAGCGTGCGTGGCTGAGTGGTTAGTGCGTGAGACTCAAAATCTCTTGATTGCAGTTGGTTGCAGATCGAATCCTAGACCTAGGCGAATTTTTGCTAATTCGTGGCTTCTTTCAGTTTTTTCTTGTTGCATTTCTTAGAGCTGCTTTTTGTCGTGCACTCGCTAGTGTTTGCGAAGCGAAATTTTGCCTCAGTGTAAAAGACATGTGGAATTCAAGAGACCTGTAAGGTGATATATTGTTTTCTTTGAAAACAGACAGTTGAAAATGTTTGAAAAAATGTCACACATCTTTTTGGGTAATTGGCTATATTCTGGGTAATTAGTCTACTTCCCAATTTTCGTTTCCATCGGAATCTGAAAATATGATTTTTAAACTTAAAATATTTAGTTTCTCCCATAATTGTTAAATATTTAGTTTCTCCCATAATTATTATGAGTATGTGTCAATGAACTAAGTAAAGACACCTATTCAGTTCCCGTTGCTTTTTCGTTTTTTTTTCAGAAAAAAATTTAAAAATTTGATCATTCTCAAACTAAATGTTTTGCCATTGTGCTTGTTTTTCAAGCTTGCGATTAGCAGGCGTTATCAATTCGGAATGTAGACTTTTTCGGGTTAACAACTAGCTTAACAAAGTCAGTTGAATCATTATGCAGCTGGCATGCTCAATTTCGTTTAAGTTCAAATTAAACATCTGAGCGGGTACAAGTTACTAAAGGGTAGTTTACGGGGGACCTGAAAATTTAAATATCTGAGCGGGTACAAGTTACTAAAGGGTAGTTTCCGGGGGACCTGAAAGTTTTTGGAAGTTTTTTTCTTCAAAATTATTTTTTTTCGGCTCAACTGGTGGCAGCTCAAAGATTGCCGGCCTTGTTTCCGCATCGTAAGTTTTGTTCGGTTCTCCTAGAATTACTGTTTGGTTAAAACAGGTGTTTTGAAAGTGAATGGATTTGGTTTCTTTTAGTTTATCATTTTGAGACGCTTTGGCAAAATTCATCACTTTCTCATAAACCCTTTTGCCGATTTTTAAAAAAGAAATGTCTACAAAAAGATCGCCTTGTGTGTCTGCATGTTCTCCTCTGATCTCTTTTTGCTTTACCTCTTGTTTGCTTTAGCTTTCAAAAAAGTCGGCAGATTTTTGACCGATGTTTTTGATCTTTCTTTTTTCGTTTTTTTGAAAAAACTAACTTACCAAATCTGAGATTTTGGTTTCATTGAATAGAACGGATTTGAGAAGCTGCCCTTCATAAGCGGCTACGTCCACACTTCTTAACACCCGAAATTACGGCCGTCGGAATAGCCATTTTTTGGTTTTTATTGAAATTTTTCAAAAACTAGCCTCGCAAACCTGAGGTTTTGGGTTCAATGGAGATAACAGGTTGTGGGAAGCTCCCCTGCTTTAGTGGCAAATCACATTTTTTTTTTTACAAAAAGTTATTGTCCTCGGAAAAGTTAACTTTTTGAAAATTCTTGACTTGTCTCGAGAACTTCCCTGCTAAGCGTGGGTTCTTGCGTTCAATCGAAATAACAGGTTCGTTGAATCTCTTCTGCATAAGAGGCTACGACCATTTTTTTAAATAAAAAGCTATGATTAAAGGAAATGTCAATTTTATGATTTGTTGACCGTTTTTTGGGCTTTTTTTCGATTACTATCCTACCAAATTTCATATCATAGGTTTAATCGACAATATAGGTTGTTGGAAGCTTAGCTTTGTATTTTGCTACCCCCAGTTCCTTTTAGAAAAAAGTAGCGACCTTCAAGCAAGTGAAAGTTTTGAAACTTTGACAGTTTTTTGGAAGTTTTTTTTACTCCACTCGAAATTTACCATGCCAATTATCAGGTTAAGCTTTGAATCGATAAACCCGATTATGGGAGTTTTCTCTACTTTCTATTCGCCCCGATCCCCGATCTGCTTTAAGCAAAAAAGTGTTCTGGATTTCAGAAGGTCAATTTTTTTTTATCTTTGACCGTTTTTTTTAGAAACTTGAGTATTCTAAAAAAAATACCCTGTCAAATCTGAGATGAAAATTGAATCGAAAGAAGCGTTGTGTGCATTTTTCTGCAGAAGCGGCTACATTTTAGATTTTTGCAAGAGAAACTTAATTCATTTTTTTGTTTGTCATATTTTTTTGCTGACGAATGTTGTCTATTATGCTTAATTCACTAATTTTCACCACAATCGTATAGTTCTCGACTCATACCACGCACTAACAACGAAACTAATGTGAGGAATGAACTTTTTTTTTTGAATCTGGTCAGAACAATCTGTGCTACTTGCACAGTAACCGGCTATCCACTTTTTTGTATTGTCTTTATTTCACTGTTTAAAGCCAGATTTTAGGCGTTTTGTTGCTTGTTTGAGAAGCTGAGCTTTATCTCAATGTAAATAGTATCAATCAAAAAAGTTTGTTGAAATTGAGAGAGCTTTAGCTTTTTCTTCGAAGTTGGACAGTTGAACAATGTTTTGTTTTCAGTGATGTATTTTTTCTTTACACTTGCGATTAGCAAGCGTTATCAAATGGACTTTTTTTTCTAGTTAAAAACTAGTTTTACAAAATTTAACAAAATTACTGAATTATTTGAGCAGCAATCATTTGTGCATCATTCGATTTTGCATTGCAGCAAGCATGCTCAGATTATTTTTTCGGGCAGAATATATTTTTATTCTTCTATGTGTTTCAGCTCGGATGGGTTGTAAAAACTTAACTTTATTGCTCAGTATATCAGTTTTTTGTTCGTTTTTTTATTCGGCTTAAATGGTTTCGGCTATTTATATGTCGGCGTAGAGGCATCTTTTGCAGTCGTTTGAGAGAAATAAGGTTTCATCTAAATGCGGGCTCATAATCTTTTTTAAGTTAAAAAAATATTTATTTTTTTTTCGGCGCAACTTATGTCTGCTCAAGAATTTTCGGCGTTCTTACTGCTTTGTAAGTTTTGTTTTGAGTTTTATTTGACTTTCAATTGTCTTAATTTTTGGCATATTTTACTGAAAAGAATTTAGTTCAAGAGAAGATTAAGACAAGTTATGGCAGTTTTTTGATAGATCAATTTTTTCGAACAAAATTTTCTACGGTTTAACCTTTTTCGGTCGGATAGTTGCCTTGCTATGTATGTGTTTTATTGTATGTAATGCGAAGCCTTGCTTCGTCTCTGTAATTAAGTTTTCTTAAGGTGCAGTTAATTCGGCTCAAAGATTTAGGGTTTTTGCAATTTTTATTTTTTGAAATAATTTTTGAAGTTTTTATTTCATTTGCGTGTTCATATGCTCTAGTAGTGATAATCAGTCATTTTTCCATCGCAAGTGGTACGAAGCTCTGCTTCGCCTGTGTCAAAATTGGAACGCTGTAAAACATTTTTTGTTTCTTCAGTTCGTTGGCACTTCATCTTGGGTTGGCTGTTTTAAATTATTGCAAGGATTCACATTGTGTTTTGCGTCATTCTTTTTCGTGACTTGAAATTGTTTTTCTTCTTCTGCAGTTATCTAAAATCGTGTAAAATTTTCCATTATGTTATGAAACATTCTTTGTGAAACGAAACTTGAATTTTATCTTAGGTCATCAAATTGGGATGATGGCTATTCTACCGTTTCTCTTCACCAGATTTAAACATCAATTTAAGGGTTTTACAAGATTGTTTATGAACACAAATTGCGTTTGTAATTAAACATTCAGTTCCAAAGTTGAAAATAATTTTTGAAAATGCATTTGTGGGAAACAGAAGAAGAGCTGGGATCTTTTTTTTAAGACCATGAACTTTCATTTCAGGCGGATGACTCTTCTGTAACACCAAGTGGGACCCTGAAACACGCCGCCACCTCTGCTGCAACTCCCTCAACCCCCAAAGCAGCCCCAGTTGCGAGTAGTGCAGCAGGGGGAGGAGGAGGTGGTGGATTCATGAGCGAAATGAGTAAACTACTCGCCAAAAGAAAGCAAATAGCTGAGGTAAGAATCAAATTGACGTTATAATGGTCTTTTTTGGTTGATTTTGGTGCCGCTTAGGTTTAGATAGGTTTTCTTTTCGCTGTGAAACATTACTAACGGTTGCAAAATTTCGAAAGAACGATTAAACCCAAAACTTTTTCTATAATTTAGTTTTGATGATTGATTAGAAAAACAGGAATGTAGCGGAATGTTAGTTATATTAAGTCAAATCGAGCGTTACTTAATTTATAAATTAATGTGTTTTCAGGGAGAATCAAGTGGAAGTTCTTCGCAGCCATCCACTCTTAAATCTGCAGGTAAACGTTCGAATCGGTTTCATCTCACAAACCCTCCCACCCCCTCCCCACCTCTGAGTTTTAACATTCTGAAATCTGTTCACAATCACAATGCCAATATTCAATGAAAATTTACTGGATAGCCTTTAAACTAATTCGAAAATATTGCTTTGAGATACAAATTTTGTGAAATTTCCGAGTGTACCATATAACTGACATTTGTGTGAGGTAGAAAAGAAAAAGCTAAAGTTCTAAGAGCCACATTCATTACTGAAGTGACACTCGTTTTGCGATAGACGTATGGTGCGCGCTCATTGCTTATTGTGGTCATTAGAACATATTGACAGAAGATAATTTTGGTTCAGCCGTTTTATCTGTCGATACAATTTAGATATCGAAAAATTGGTAGTCTTTGCTATCCATTACATTATGGAGTCAGTTTGAATTTGTGAGTGGCGGAGATTTTGTCGCGCTTTTCATGCAATCTTTAACATAAGCTGTGCTCATGGATAGTTACATTAGTTCATTTGTAGAGCCCTCTCGAAAGAGTGAATCAGTGATCTCGAGCGTCCCAATGGCAGTCGGATCCCTGAACAGACGCAAGTCCATCAACCCCTCAGAAATCACCCACTCCTCCACCCCCCTCTCCTTGCACTCTGGGGGGTCTAGCTTGACTTCTGCGAACTCATCCTCAGTCGGTGCTGTGGGCAGTACTAATGCGGCGACGACAGCTGCAATTGAATCAATGAAGCAAGAAATACTGGCAACTGTGAGAGCAGAGATCCAAGCTGCGAAGCTGGAGATACTTCAAGGTCAGTGAAATTTTCATGCTATAACTATGGGCTCCTCTATCGCTTCAATTGATATTCATAACGTTGGTTCGTGTGGTCCAGTTGTCATGACATGGCCTGTATGTTGATCACTCAGTTATAAACACATTTTGTCTTCATATACGACCTCATAAAATCGATCTTCACTCTTTTTTTTATCGCATAAGTGGATATCATAGTTGTGTTCCTGTAAAAAGCAACTATGAACGATCGCCTCAGTCATTATTTTGACGAAATGACGCAATGTAACTAACCAAATACGCATGCCGTTTTAAGAATTGAAAAAATGAATGTGAGTTTTTTGGAAGATAGTTTAACTGAACTGATATGTGTGTTTCAGCCATACGTGCTCAGAACCGATAGTGCTGCAAACTGAAAGAATGATTAGAACCAGAAACTCTTCTACAAATTACGTCACCTAATTCCTCCGTCTCTTCTGTTTCTCTCTGGCTGAATCAGCACGTGCAATCCAATCTATTTCTTCATTTTGTCCGCCCACTAGGAAATTACTCTATATTTTGTACCCCTTTAAATTACTCTGATTCTGTCTACCACATTTACATGATGACAAACAGCTGCAAGTTAAACTTTCGAAGGAAGCAAACCAATTGATGCGAATATGATGTCGAAACAGAAGGAACTATTGATGCAAACATCACGTCAAAAACATGCAGAAACTTCATTTTCAATTCAATTTCCAAAAACTCATGATTATAACGATAAAATCTTATTTCAAATTAGATCAGACTGCTAATATCTGAAATTTAATCGATGTAGTCAAACTATGAGGCATTGCTACAAATAACTTGAACTTTTTTCTTTGTCCCATTATGACTTTTGTAACTCCTTTGCCATGGCCGATATTGAAAATATTCTATTCTCATTTTTATCTTTTCTATGATATTTTCGAGGTGCTACTACTGTATTCATGTGATGATGCTTAAATATTTCAACACGATGGCCTTTTTGTATGGTATTTTATTTTGTCCACAAGTCTGCTGTGAAGTGAAATAATCAAATACTCGCCTAGTGATATGTTGTTAAAACATTAATCGATGTATATTGCGTGCAAAATCTGATATTGAATTTTTGAAAACGAAATCTATGCGAAAGAAGGTAAAAAAGCCCATTTAACATCCATGAATTTCTTTTGAAAAGTTCGTACAATTAAGAGTTACAAATTAACGAAACTCGCATGTTTAAAAAAAACAATATGGTTGTTCTGCTGGAAGCTTAAAGCGTGAACCGGAAAAGTTTGAGACTTGCGGTAATTTTGGTAAATGGGCGCAATTGCATCGATTTATTAAAAACAAATGAATTGTCGCGTAATTCTTATTTTCGAAGTTCCATTGTTATGAAACGAAAAGTAATCAATATTTAAAATTATAAGGTCATGAACCTTTTTTGTACATTCCTTTCATTCTGAATGATAAGAACTTTTTTGCCATTACGGTCGTGTGCAGTGTTTGATTTTCACATCAAGTCAATTTTTTGAATCAGGCACTAAAACCAATTATAAATATGATCTTAGTACCAACTAGTTTATTATATTTTACTTTGCAAATTTCCATCAAATTTTGTACAAAATAGCTAATTGCAAATATTGTGTATGGCCTGAAAACAACTTCTTTAATGGTCCGAATTAAATTCTGATCTTCAATTCATTCTCGAGAAGTGTGAAATAATTTTAATTTTTTCCGAAACGTCTGCCTGAATGAAGTGTTCTGCTCCCAAAGAAAAATTTCGTTTGGATGATGAAAATTAATCAAATATATATTTTCGAAAACTGATTATAGCTTTCACTATAACTTATTTGACCCACATCTCTATATTTAATTAGGTAAATAAGAAGAATTATGAGCTGGAATGTGAGTCTAAAACACTGCAGTGATTAAATATTTGTTACTTCTTTTTCATGGGTAACTTTTTTCTATCATATTTTGTAGATAAGTTACTTTTTCCATTTGCAGATAACTTTGCATAGTTTATGCTTTTGTATATTACATGCTCAATATAAATTACAGTTTTCTTCTTTTGACTGAGAGGTGAGTTTGTTGCGAGTTGTGATCAATGGGTGTGAAGGAACTATGGCTGGAGTGTTGCTCTTCCCGTGATCTCCCGGTACTTCAAAGAAAGTTAGAAACTCGAGTGTGGCTATGAAAGACCTCTCTGTTTTGATTTGGAGTTCGAAAACCTACAAAATTCTGGTTAATGAGATACTTCATCAAAGTTTTGTACAATAAAAAAACAGACAGATCAAAAGCGAATTTCATCTGTCTCATTGATTCTTCACGGCGACCCGGATTTGTTTTGTGGGCCATGACCACCCATTTGCGTGAACTAATTTTTTTGCTCTTCTGGGTATTGCAAAATAAAAAATTAGTTCTTAGAGAAAGGTTATCTATCATTAGTATGGCTCGAATAATTAATTCGCCCCTTTGACTGCATGCCCTTTTCCGACCACGAGACTACGCCATAGCCGGTCGAGACATGTGATTCCAAGAAACGCAAAAACTTTGGGTTACGTTACAAAGTTGGGAAAAAAACGTTTTTTATTGAAAAAATCAATTTAACAGCATTTTTTTAATAAAAAACATGTTTTTTGTTTTTTTTTACAGTTTGCTCAGTTCGCGGTAAAGAAATGCAAGTTTGCCACATTTTTCAGCCTCCATTTGGTTTCTTAATTTTTCATACGTCATTCCTGTCGTTGAGAAACAACTTTCCAATCCAGCTGAGTTAGGAACGCCAGAAACGAGAGCCAGTGCAACATCAACCAACGCTGTTTCGAAACCTAGCCTTTTTCCCATTTTCCACCATGATAACCTTTTTACACTTTTGAAATCTTGAAAATAACTTACACGTTCGACTCCCTGCCTATGCTAGCTTTTTACGATAAAAGTTTTAAAATTAAAAACTCTGTTTTTTATTTTCTGTTTTAAAATGTGTTTTTTTTTGCCTGGTTTAAAAACATGTTTTAAAACATTCCTAACCCTGTTAGGTTACGATACAATTTAAACCCCTCTTAATTGTGATTCGGAATACTTACATAAGCAACGCTTGTTTTATACAATCAGTTCAATTTATTTAGCAAAAGGCGCTATCTTCTGTGATCAATTTTTGTTATCAATGGCAGTATCCTGGAACACCTCAAACGTAAAGACGATTTATTTATCTGTTTACCCGCTTTATGAAAGTGCACTCGAAGCTGCCTGGTTAAAACAAGCCAAGTATGTGTGAAAACCTACAGTCACAGGACAGAGAAGCTCAAACTTTCAGTTCTCAACTGAAGCGCAGAGCAAAAACTTCACCACGCGTGGCAATTTTATTGCAACTTGAAATTTTCCGGCCCATTTAAGAGTTTGTTACAGATAGAAAGCAGCACACGTATTAGTGCTCCCGTCTATCTGCAAAATGTACCTTTGCCTCTGGGAAAAAATTGAAATAGAGGGATCTATAATAACAAAACAAGCTGGCTCAGTTGGTTCCAGTTTTCCCTTGGTTCCAGTTCTTAAGCGTTATAAACGTAGTGAGTACTTTTATATTAGTCTTGATTTTTTTCAAGAAAAAAGCTTACATTTTGTTCACGCATAGTTTTGACTTTCCGTTGTTTGATATCTTTTCAAATTCAATTCGTTTTCCTGGTTAAACGGAGGCAATCGCCTCTCGAACAGCAAAAGTGTAAATGTCACGAAAAACGTGATTGACTTCTAGTTTAGAAAGTCGAAGACTTTCCAGCAAAGTTGAACGTTGAAGTTGTTTTTTTTCTGTTTCCTTGCGTCCATTAGTTTTTTCAAACTGTTAGCTGCAGTTGGCTATGATTTGTACTTCGAAATCAGAAAAAGTTCAATATGCCATTTTCAGGGAGCAGTAAGATTGTACTACTTTTAAAAACGTTTTTTATTGTTCCGACTTTCGACACGAAAGTAACGGAATATTTGTGCTCGGGGTGGGTTTTTTTTCTTCAGACAAATTTCGACTTTTTAACTAGCCACTTTTGACATAATTTATTTATATCATTCGAAAGCTATTGTTGTCCTGAGCCTAAATTTGAAAAGATATTTTACCTGTGATCATTTTTCGTAAAGTTATGAGGGTTTAAAGATTGCCATTTTGACCAATTTGGGACAATTAACGCGCGATATAATTCGCGCTATTAACGCGTAAGCGGAGATTTAATCCGTCTTAGAAATCGTTCCAAATTGGTTAAAAGAAGCTTATTTGCCATAATTGATTTGTTAAAAGGAGCGAACTTGATTTGTTTTGTACTTTATATGGCGTGTGGGATGATGATTTTCATCAAAAAAATTTCAAATTTTAGAAAAAAAATTTTCATTTTATTTTATTTCATTTTTTTTTATGTTTTTTTTTTGTTATTACTGCTCCATAAAAGAGGCAGTCGGAACTTTCAGGGCTTCGCCCTGATACAAGCAGTCTTGTTTATTTTTAAACTCTAAATATGCAGTGTTGAAAGACTGCTCTCAATTTTTTGCCTCCTCTTATCTTCCTCAACGCCCAACCTAGCTTCCAATTGATTTTTAGGGAAAAATTGTGATTTGAGTTTTCTCGGCCGCTAATCACAGCAAATGGCTTGGATTTCTTTAATTGAGACTTCGATTTCAAACGAATTCTTTGTTTGCTTACTCTCCTAACAAATGATATTTGCCAAAAAATAAGTTCGTCTGATTTTGCTCGAAAAACTTGTGTTACTTTACAAAATAATAGTTCTTCTCAGGTTTGTCTTGGTGACGTTGTTCGCTGTAAATTGATATGTGATATAAAACGATAGCTTTTCAAGTTGAGTCTTTGAACACTAAAACGCAGTTTTAATTTAAAGATGCTCCCTATGGTCATAGCATTCAGGGGCCGATTTCGGTGCGCTCTTTGGACATCCCTCAGAATTTTTCTTCAGGTGCTTTTGTTAGCAAAATATACTAAATTGGAAGGTGAGAGCACGCCAAAAAACCTCAATTTGTTGGTCAAAACCTTCCGGCGGTCAAAACCTTCTTAGTTTGAATTACGCTAACAAGAGCTCGGAAAATCAATGTGGTTGACCAAAAAAAAAATTATGAAAAGTTTGTGAATTTCTTTTCAAAAATCTAGCCCTACACCCTCGAGGTCCGCCCCCCGATAACATCTTAGGTCCGCCCCCGATAACACTCACTCCCGTCTGGGGAGTTTTTGTGCATCATTTTAACGTGGTACAATTACATGAACGTTTAGTTTTTTTTTATCATTTTTCCGTCCAAGCCAAAACTTTATTTGGTCGTTGTAATTTATGTACAGTAGCGAAAAATGGAGGTTGCAAACTGATAATCCCAAAACGATCTTTTACAGTGTTGAAAACGTTTACAGCTGAACGAGTGACCCATAAACTTAAGTCAGTTGTTTCGAACCAGCTTCCGATCAGCAAAGAATAACGTTTTTGATCAATTGTCTTGTAATCGGAACTATTATTTTTTACTAAACAATTTTTGTTACAGATGCGTAAGAGTTAGTGAGGGTGACTCGATTACTTCTCAGTCATTCGTTAGAAAGTTTCTACTAGTTTTGTAGCGCGACTTAATGGTCTCATATTGTGTCGTTTGAAGGTTCATGATAACTTTTCATTCGTGTGCGTCCTCAGGGGTATGCGAATCAGTGAAATTTTGAGCTTAGAATACTTTTAAGACAGATTTTTTCGGCTCAACCGGCATCTTCCCGAACAGTTTCTTTTTATTAAAGAGCTTTCGCCTTTTTTCTGTCGGCTCGCTTGCCATCTTATGTTTCTGATGTAATGCATGCATGTGATCAGTTGCAATTTGAATTTTAGGGAGAATTCGTTTGTCATAACAACGAGGAATTTCAATTTGATTCTCGAGGACTGAAAGCTGTAAAAATAAAAAACTATTTATTTCTTAAAGTATTGCTGAAAAACATTTTTTTTTTGAAAATTCATTTCTAAAGTTGAATACACTTGCGAGAGCAAGTGTCTTGTAATCGGGCTCTAGACTTTTCTTCAGGTAAAAATTTTCTTTACAAATCTTACTTAATTTTCTTACTTGATTTTTTAAGGAAACTTAGCGCGAGTCGACTTCTCACTTGGCCTAGAGGTAATGTGGTTCACTTTTTACCCTAAGATCAGGAGTTCGAGCCCCGGCTGGATTTTTTTCAGTTTTGTTTTAAATATTTTCGCGCTGTTATTATAATTAATCGTCGATCAAGTGCTTTTGATTTACTCTTATTATTTGTAAAATTGATAGCCCTGACATTGTATATTTAAGATTTTTTTTCGCTTAAAGTCTTCATTCGGTCTTAATTGTGTCCAACTTATGTGTTATTTGTTTTGTTAACTTATTTTGTGTAGCTTCAGAGGCAAAAATGCTTGAAAATTCAGGTAGTTTGTATTGCAAGATTTCACAGCTTAAAACTTAGTTTGCTCAATTTTTTCTATGACAAAAAATCTTACGGCGTTTTTTGGGCTTGGCTCGATGGGCGTCTATCTATTTGTTGTCGTCTTAGTGGCTGCTCGGTAAATACTAAAAGCTTATTACAGTTGGTTGTTTTTCGACTGTTTTTCTGAAAAAATAGATTTTCCCAAAAATCTATTTTTTTTAAAATTTCTGTCTCATTTTCTATTTCTTAGCTTGCAATGCTGCTCTATTGTTATCATTGTTATATCGCAAGTGATGCGAAGCTCTGATTTGGCTCTATTCTATGAATTTTATTCGAAAAACCAATCAAACTGAAAGAAAAGTTTAAATATGGTGTCACTCTCGATCCGTTGCAAAACTTTAATTCCCAAAATCTCAATGAAAAACACCGAGGTTTAGTTTCTTTCCGCTCCGTTAGTAGTCAGAACAAATTCGTTTTTCCAAAATTGTTAGTTACGCTCAATTTAGTTGGAATCGGCTTCCTGGTTGTCTACAGATCTCTTTTTAATTTTTCGATTTTTTTTGTAATATCACGCTGCTCCCGTTTGTACGTGAATGGAAACTTTCCGTACTTCAT